ACATTTCTGAAACCTTAGAATGAATCATAATTTTCAAAAAAAAATATTTTAATTATTATATTTATTGGCTGAACCAGGTAAACTAAAATCTAAGTCAAACTTGTACGATAAAGATGTTTGTGTTATGAACTTATTAGTTATTGAAACAAAACATTTTTTATTTCAGATTGCTGGAACTGTGGTAATATATAAAGCATTTTGAAATTTTGACATGGATATGTCTTATGGCTGGGGGCTGGTCCGCAAAATCCGACCGTTACAAAAATGTATCACGCTTATTAAGACAAAAGATAAACCAATAAGGGATTACAGATAATAAATCAGTAAGGTGCCAAAAGTACCGGGTCTTATATTTGTATATTAAGACATATCCATGCAACTGGCATCAATAAACACTAGATCGGAGCGAAATGCGCACACTAAAATATTATTTTTTATTAGATTTTTATTAAATACAAATTATTCAAAGTTTCATTATGATTAAAGGATCAAGCTCCCTTGTATAAACTGTTGAAAATGATTAATGATTAACTTAATGGTAGATTTATATAAAACATAATACATATTGTCTGAGCTTTATCACTGAAGTTATCTGTGCACATATTATAATTACAAATATTTTAAGGTGTACGTTAAGAAAATAAAGGGTAGATAGGGTAGGTAAAATCATCAATACCATAATAAAACGATATTTTATTTTTAGGTCATACCTTTGAATAAGATATTATGTAAGTACTCAGGATAGTTCTTATGTATTTAATTTTTTTTTTGTGGTTTAAAAAACCAATTACAATATCACATATTTTGTTTTATGTGTTACATTTTAATATTTTCAAGATACAGAACGCTGAACCTTTATTTATCTTCACTCAAGATTTTAAAATAACATTCTCATTCTATTGCAATATATTTTATTACTATTATTACTATTGTGTTCATGTCATACATATTGATATTGCTTGTTAAAAGTTATAATTACCATTTTAGTGTTTTAAATATATTTTATGTTATTAAAATATATTGATGAAAGATGTGTTCATCATTCATCAACTATTGATATATGTTTGAGTATAGTTGTAGTGAACTATGAAATAATTGTTTTAATTTAAATTTAAACATTTTTCTTTTGAAAAATATATAAACGATTATGTTTGAATTAAATTGTATTTACGTTTAATGTTATATAAAATTTATTTTATTTTAATATTTAATTAGTTACATAGTATAATATAGTTATACCGTATACACAATATAAAATAATAGTAAAAAGTTTATTTTATTATGCTTCAATTTTTTAATTCTCATGTGTCCATTCGACATTCAAAATACTCATTTTAAATGTTCTTTATTATTATTGGCAGTTCGTTGTAATTTATTTATTCATATATTTTTTTTAAATATGAATGTTAGTGGGCCCATAAATAAATTTGAGAAACTTTCCTAATAAAAAAAAATTGTACTTATAGCATTTGTTTTTCAACTTTTAGATATTCTTTATCGGAATCGGTTAGACTTCTCAAAAAACGCTATTAGTTTATTGTCCTATATTAAACAATCACCTAACCCACTTTGAGAGCTATAAATTGCACTGAATATAGGGTTTTTAGGATTAAAATTCAACAGAATACAAAAATATATACATTTTTAACAGTGTTGTTAGTGATACAACACTAACAAAAATCATAGTACTTAAAAATATACTAATGTAATCTTTATAAATTTGGTCTAGACAGTATAAGTCTAACAATTATTACGATAAAACCAATCATCACTATAAAAACAATTTTAAATAAAAATAAAAATAACTATAGATAGCTCAAAAACGATTTCAAAATTAAATTTATCGCAGACACTAGTGGTAATTCAAGGTACTTTACCTTATGCTGGTAATACCATTCTTTATCTTGATAGTAACTATATCCGATAGCTATGAAATATGATACAAATGTCCTATGTTGACAAGGATATTATGTCTTATGGCTAAGGGTCGGCTCGCAAAATCCGACCGTTACGAAAATATGTCACGCTCAATAATATTAGAGATAACAAAAAATAGAAATTAGATAAAAGGTATTCCTGTATACTTCCGCGTAGCGTATGTACTAGTATTAGTCTACCGATAAATAATCTTTACATTTAGGTTTATGTCTGCAGTGTAGCATCAACAAACACTAGGTCACAGCGTAGTGCGTTCACTAAACTATTACTTTATTACACAGTTAAACTTAAACGAATATTTGAATAGTAAGAATAAAATGTAAAAGCTCGTGGTGGTGATCCTTGCAGAGCATCAGACAAAATGCATCTGAGGAGTTGGTGAGCGGTTATCGTTATATATTATTCGCAAACAGGGAGTCCGTTTTATTCCATAAAAATATAAAAATCATTGATTTTTATAAATTGCATAAAAAATCACTTAGTGGAAAAAATTTGAAGAAGTCCTGGACTCAAAATTTAAATGATAAACAATTTGGCATGTTAGAAAACAGAAAATAATTTGATTTTTATAATTATTTACACTTTTTAGAGGGTTGATAAAAGCTGATTTATCATGGTTTACTCTAGATGAGAAATTATTTTGCTTATCATTGATTTTGATACTTATACGGTTCATTGTTAAAGATTGAACCATGTAAGCCAGGTTTAACTAAGTCAGTTTTAAAATTGATAATAATTTATAAAGGTACTACTATAATTTTTTTACCTAATCCACAAACAACAATTTCTTGTTAGTTTCATTTATTTTTTCAACAAATAAACCACTCGAGAAAATTAAATCCCTTAAACACTCAAAATACTCATATTGGCCATATCACCTGCAAGACTATTAAGGTATTAGGTTTTATAAAGAGCATAAACACTCATATAACGTACACCCGGCATAAGTGTTATTGTTGAGCATTTTTTTTAAAGCGGATAAAGCATATCTTATAAAAATCTAACAAAATATCCGATGGCTGTTGAAAAAAAGCCATTTTAATATTAATCGTCAACTAGTTTATCTTATCTAAAGAATATAAAAACTTACGTAAACAAAATTGTTTTCGTCGACGTAAGACGAAAACAATACATTGTTCACTTACAAATTATGTATGATAAAAAAAAAATCACCTGTACTCCTATTTAACCTCTTTTAATTTTACCACTTCAACCCCTATTACGGGTTTCATAAATTAATTTAGAATAGATATATAAGATTAGGTTAATATAGATTAAATATTGTAGTTGAGTCTGAAATGTGTAAGATAGAAAAGCCAAGAAACTAGGGGGTGATATTATATTTAAAAAAATGTTGTTCCCTTGTAGCCGGCCAAAAAAAATGTAGGTACTATGATTTTTGTTTTTTGCGCAGCGCATACAATTAGTGTTAGAAACTGTTTGTGTAACTAAATAGTTTATTGTTTTCAAGTTTCAATAAGACAAAATGCATTTAAAGACCATTTTCGAATGTTCGGTTTTCATAAAACTATATTTCTTTGCTAAATAAAGATGATTAAAGTATAGATTGTCTTACATTTATTCATTTGGCCCAATCATGAATTTCATGGTTTAAATCGTATTTATCTGTTCAACAAGTTAAAATAGGAAACTTAATTTGGCCAAGCATAAATGTATCCTCTAGTGTACCCCAGGGTAGTCATCTGCCGCCTTATTTATTATATTTATTAATGACATAAACCACATAATTGTGATTGTAAACTTTTGCGGTTAGGTTAAGCATAGCCTAAATGAGCATAGAGTATACATAAAGCATTATATAATTTAACAAATTAACTAATTAAAACAGGCCATCACTAAAAACATTAAAATGTATAAAGAAAAAATATAAAGTAAGGTATAGTATAAAGTGTGGTACAAAATATATAAGGTATAGTTAGAATACATAAAAAAACAAAAACTTAGATATCAGATATCAAATACTATTTTGTATGTAACCAAAAATAAATATGTGCTTCAAATTTTTAATGTTGATTTTTTTTAATATAAGATAATAATCATTATTTAGTAATTAGTTTCGTTTATTTACCCAAGCAATAATTCTTACTGTAATTTTAAATTATATTAATTGCTGCCTTTTTTAGACAGAGTTAATTAGTTGACTTAACTCCAGATAGAAAACCATAACACATAACAAGTCTGATTTAAACTTATTCTTTATACAATCGGAGAACCGCCGCCTAAGTTATAGAATTTATATTGCTCTATTAAGATTTTAACGTTTTCCATTCCGTTAATTATTTAATATTAATAAGACAGCAGACTTTTTTTTAAAACATTACAATATCAAATCGTTCAAATGAATTATCAAATGGTCAGTATCAACTGAGACGATATCAATGCGAAGAAGCAAGTGTTTTGTTAAAAATCTCAAATCTTAACCGCAGGGTATTCAAATTTATACATGCAGTTTATATAGGATATAGTTTTATATTATAATATTTATTTTATTTAGGGGTGCATTTTGAGGAAAATATAAATCAAAATATTTACAAACGGCGAGACATGTAAGTACAGAATATAAATGCTTAAAAACTGCAGTTGACACATTAGCACGAGGAAATTATAAAATAATTGGTAAACTCATTAACGATAGTCACAACTCACTAAGGTAATGTGTTTATTCATATATTATAAAATATACAATATGTGTACTAAATTGTACATCGGACGATACAGTTATTATCATTTTATGCTCTTTTTCTTTAAATGTATAATAATTGTTATAACTACAAAATAAGATTTAATTCAGCATTGTTATGTATTTGAGTTTCAATCATCGTTGGACCCCTTCGAGGATCGCTATACGTTCTGTAATTGGTCGTCAATCACCTACAACAGCTATTGAGGCCTGGGCGCGGATTGTCTAGAAGCGAATAGATATTATTTATCGACCTAATTGAATCATACACTTAACTGTAAATAATTATACTAAGTAGGGATTACATATTACATTCACTAAGTACTGAATATACCCGTTATAAGTGGAAGAGGGAATGACCTAGAATATAATTGATATTCCTTGAGCTAAGAACACAGACAACAGTTGTTCTTGGCCCAGAGCATTGACTTGAACAATTTATTTCACCATGCACACCAATATTATAATTGTTATATTATTATCAACCACATATGTCGCTGAACCGATTTTTGTTGAATCGGATCTAAAAGACATTTTTCAATCACTCTACGGACAGTACCTTCAACAAGGAATACCTTTTAAAGAAAACACATATCAAGGCAATACACCCATACTGCGTGAGTATGATTTTATTGTTATAGGAGCAGGTCCGGGAGGAAGTGTCATTGCAAATCGTTTATCGGAAAATAACGACTCGTCAGTGTTAATATTGGAAGCTGGACAAGACGAATCTGTGTTCACGGATATTCCAGGTGCCGCCCCATACTTACAATCAACAGACTACAATTGGGGATACAGTGCCGAACCCACCGACAATGGATGTTTAGGTAGAGAAAACCAGCGTTGTTCGTTACCAAAAGGAAAAGGTTTAGGCGGCTCATCAATCATAAATTTTATGATGTATACAAGAGGGAGCAAAGAAGACTACGACAGCTATGCAGAACTTGGAATTACTGGTTGGTCTTACAAGGATGTATTGCCCTATTTCTTGAAAGCTGAAAACAACTCGATACCAGAGTATCAGAATTCAGAATTTCATTCAAACAAAGGGAATTTACATGTCGAAAGAATAAAATATCAAACGCCACTCGTTGACAAGTTTATAGAAGCGGGAGGCGAATTGGGATTGCGGGAAAATATAGACTACACGGTTGAACCAGAAAATGGAATATCACGTGTACAAGCTACAACAATAAATGGATACAGAGTAAATACAATTTGATTAGTTTAATTTATAAAAGCCTCACACCCTCTACACATATACATTTTTATGTCAAAATAACTCGGTCACTCAAATCGGTTTTATAGAGTAGATAGTTTAAGATTAAAACCACCTATTATCATAAGCTGGCAGATTTTAAAAGTTATAATTATAAACTAAGTTGAAACTGTTTAAAAGTATATAAAAAGTAAGGTTTCGTTTATTATATATTAGAAAACATTCAGTTTATCAAAAACCTGTCAATGTACAGCTCTCAGAAATATTATATTGTGCTAATTTGAGAATAAGTGTTTATGCTTTAAATGCTTCAAAACAGATTCTGTGTAGCTTTATTTAGGATGGAACATTTTTTAAGAATTCAGATTACTATGTATCTGATAAAAAAATGAATTATCCTTGAAAGAATACTTATTGTTGTACTAATAAATAATATAGGTACACTTCAGTTTGAGCTTTAAACTAAAATGTTGTGAACAATTTTGTATATTGAACTTTTAAAAACAGGAGTCCTAATAATAAAAAATACAAAGCCGACTTTTTTTAATTTTCTTATAGCAAGTAATTCGTCCCGGAAAGCGAATTGTTACGAAACCTCCTCCTTGGAGTAGGCGAGGATATCTCTAAATGAGCCTTATAAGCTATACAAAAAAATAATACATGGGAACCACCACAACTTTAGCTATCCTATAATATTAAAATAATATATTAGCTCAATATTGAGTTTTGACTAAATATTTAGTACTTGAGATAAATAATATGTTTTTTATGCAGATGAGTTCGGCTAAAGCATACATTCGTCCAGTGAATAACCGCCAGAACCTTCATGTTGCAATATTTTGCAGAGTGACCAAAATACTGATTGATCCCCAAACAAAAGAAGCTATTGGTGTAGAGTTTGTTAAAAAAGGAAAAACCAGGAAAGTATGGGCTAAAAAGGAAGTTATATTATCAGCTGGACCAATCAATTCACCTCAGTTGCTCATGCTGTCCGGAATTGGACCAAAAGAACATCTAGAAAAACATGGAATACCTGTGATCCAAGACCTACCAGTTGGCAAAAACTTAGAAGACCATTATGCAACAATCGGTAAAAAAACACATTATTTTTAAATAAAATTATATCAGTTTATTATAATACAAAACTATTATTTAGGTTTAAATTTTAAAATCAACAGAACAGGAGTAGCAATCAACGAGCAAGCTTTGTCAGATCGATTGGTATTCGACGATTGGTTTAATTTTGGCGAAGGTCCTTTAACTTTACCAGGGGGAGTAGAAGGTTTAGGTTATATAAAAACACCGGCTGGCAAGGAAGTTGAACTGATAATTCTATCTTTTTCACCGACTGGTGACACATTTAATATAGTACCCATGCTATTGTTGCCAGACGCACGTGGAGAAGTCACGTTAAAAGACAAAAATCCTGGTCACTGGCCAATTATACATTATGGATACTATCAAAACAAATCTGATTTGGATACATCTGTTTATAGTCTTAAGTACATAGTAAAGTTAGTAGAAGAAACTAAAGCTTTTGAAGATTTAGGTGCGACAGCAGACCCTGTTACCATATCAGAATGCGATAAGCTCCAGTTCAAATCAGATGGTTACTGGGCATGTTTCGCGAAGTACATGACAACTAGTGTACATCATCAATGTGGTACATGCAGGATGGGTGACGTTGTAAACAACAAATTACAAGTCATTGGAATCAAAGGACTAAGAGTAGTAGACTCTTCCATATTACCACACGTTCCGAGAGCACATCTTTACGCTCCGACTGTAATGGTTGGAGAAAAAGCAGCAGACCTAATAAAAAATGATTGGTCGCAAAACTAAACATTTTAAAACACGTATACACACCAAATAATTTGTATAATTTTAGAAACACGCAGAGTATTATTATTAATTAGTATTATATATTTTGTAGGTCATTAAAAATGTCGATATACTCAAATGGTGTATTTGTAACATCTATTAATTTTAGTACAAGCTTTTTTAATGTAAAAAAAGACCGATGTTTATTAAAAAAACCACAATTAATTAAAAACTACAATTAATTAAATTTAATGCGATTATTACTATTCCATAATCATCAACGATAACAGAAATTAAACCATCATCTAAAACACGAGTTTAGATTATTATCACTTGTCACAATCAATTAATTAATCGGATCAAATGAAACAATATTTTCTTAACTACACTGATATTTTTCAAATTTGAAATTATAATAATATTGTAATAATTAAATAATGGAAAAAATTAATTTAGTTCCAAACTTGTGTGGGATACTCTTTATGAATAATACAGTAAAAAAACCAAAAGAAATTAACCTTTTTACCTAAAAAGAATGGAATCTTTTTCATTATTAGTTTTTAAAATTTTCCTTAAAGTAGAGTGCAGATCGTATATAGAAGTTTTTTTTATATTTATTCTAACAGATTTTTTTTTTACAGACCAAAAATATTGTAATAACTTGAAAACCATATGAACATTACAATAAAACAAACAGTAGTATACACCTAAAGTAAACAATTTATATTCTAATAATATACTTCGGTAGTCAAAGCATGTGTACAAATAAGAACAACAACCGCACAAAACGTCTGCAAAACAGAACATAATGATATTATGTACTATTATATAATGTATGCTAGATATAATTTTACTGAAATCGTTTTTTATTTTGATAAATTAAACTTTTACTGTAATTAAACTTAATTTGCAGACATGAAATCAAAATACTATGAATTAACAATTTAAAAGAAGTATAATTGAATAATTTAGTAATAAAGAGTAGGACCAATATTCAAATACTATACATAAAATATTGTACTTAGTAGGTAGTTGTAAAAACAGTAATCATATAAAAATAAATTATCTATAATGTAAAGTGTATCTAATAAAATTTAGAAAATATTATACATGGGTCAAAACGCCAAATATGAACAAACGTTTAGACCTACCCCCGACGATAATTTTTAAATATTACACTGCATGTATGTTACGATTAAAGAAATGTTCTCAAGTTTGTTTTTGTTTTAGTCTTTACACCTATTTTTTATCGTCTCGTTTCTAATATCTTCGACCATCAAAAATAATGATTAAAATAAAGTTGTTTATGTAAAATAATTTCAGCTTTCTGAAAAAAATAAACTTTTTGCGTTATAGAAAATCATTGAAATTTAATTTGTAATGTAAAATGTGACTTTTTATTTTGCCTAAAACTTGAGAATTTTTTTCAAAAACCTGAGAGCGTTTAACATAAAATGTGGAAATTTCAAATTTGGATCTCCATAAAAATGGTCAGCAAAAAAAAAAAATAATACAAATGCATAAAAAAATAACAGTTAAATTTTGAAAAAAAAATATTAGAATAATTCTCAAATTTTGGGCCAAACGAAAAAACAACTTTTTAGATTATTAACTCAATTTAAAGACTTTCTATTGAGCGAAAAAAAATATTATTTTAAAAAAGCTTAGGTATAAGGAACTGATTTTTAATCATTTTTTTTTTAATGGCCGAAGATACTATTAAAAAGATAAAAAGAGGTGTCAAGACAAAAACTCAAAACACTTTTTACGACCATGACCAAAATAATCGAAGAAAAACCAAACAAACTTGAGAACATTTCTTTATTGGTAACATACATGCAATATAATTTTAAAAAAACCGTCGGTCCAAACGTTTGTTCATATTTGGCGTTTTAGCTCATATTTATATATCAGGTAGATTTATGTATTGTGCCAAGAACAATTGTAATGACAATTGGAAAGAAAGAAGAAAAGAAAAGGTGCCACGGATAGTAAATGATGTTTATGCTTCTATACTTAATTAGTTAAATACATGATTGGGTGAATGGCCCAAGTATTGCATTTTTTTGGGATTTCAATTAATTCTTTATTACTTGTATTTAAAAATAAAGCGTTTCTCGTTAAAGTAGTTTTAAAATTGATTTATAAAATTAACGGCCAGCGACCAAGTTCGAACCACGGCTCATGACGCCACTAGTATTTGACAATATTGTACCTACAGTCTAAATAAACACATTTATCTCTTCAAAACGTCTATATTATAATTATATTATTTTAAGTTGTTATTATATGTGTATTAGTTATTTACAATAATTTTGTATTTTTAATAGTATGCAATTGCGCTGTTTACCAAACTACGAACCTCTTCAAAAAATATGAATTTAGTCTAAATATTGCGTAGCTAATAATTATGATACACAAACAACAAGTGTTGTTTCGACTAAAGATTGGTTTAAAACAAATAAAGCACGTCATGTTGTTTGTTTTAAATAAAGAAAAATGTTTAATGGAGGATTTCAACATATATATATATATATAACACAAAATATGATGTTTCTTATTCATTCACCGTTCATACATCTGTAACATAATGTTTTCAAAAACGTTTATCAGACTGACTGTAGTGTCATTTTTTATTTTGGCAGCAACTATAGGTACTATATATTTTTGATTATCACAACATATTCTTTTAATTTAAATACATTCATATTGTTTAATTTATTGCTTATTTAATTATTATCATACTATACTCTTACAATTCCAATGGTGTGTATGATAAAATTAATTTTATGTTTTTTCTTTATTTTAGCCATAAACGGAAAACCTTCGGAAATAGTTCCAGGTAAGAGTTATTAATACATTTTATTTTAACCTCTACAAAATAGCAATCAACTTTCCTATATGTTTGTAAATGACAGTTTATTCATATACCGGGAGATTGGTTAACTATGGACCAGTCAAAAACTTAGAAGATATTAGACTTTTTTAATTATTTTTTTTTATAATATTATAATTATTAGTTGGGACCAATCAAATATATTTTCAAAAAATTTAACCCCATCCCTAATATGTTTTTTTTTAGTTTATAAGAAGTATAATATTGTTTCAACATATAAATTATATTAATTTAAAATGTATTTGTTATTTATTTTAAAAAATAACCTTTACGGGGTCGGGTCACTAATTTATTTTTATATTATAACATTTAAATAATAAATAAAAACAACTGCGTGTAGGTGTAAAATCAAGTTTATTTATTGTTCAATTAATGTATTAATAACTAATTTAATATTATCTTTGATTTGGTGCCTGAAGGAGAAGTGTTTTCATTATCTACCCTCAGATAAATTTGTATTAATACATTACGTTAAAACTAACAATGTGGCAATTCTAATGTTTAAATTAAGTTTTATGAGGTATTGTTAACCTATTTATTTGTTTATTACACTTAATTTTTTATAAATAACATTTACTGTACGCAGGAGAAAATGACCCTACAAAGCAAGCTTACCAACCCAGCCAGGCATGGGCCGCTAAACCAGATGAGATCGGTATGCATCTTGTTAGTATTAAATTTCATATAGACTTTTCAAATAATAAAAACGCTGCAATGTAAATTTCCATAATTATAATATAAATCGTATTGGATCCCTCAAGCAAATATTAACTTATGTTCTTACATTATTAAATAAACAATAAATATTCTAGCCTAGCCAACAAAACTCTAAAAAAAGATAATAAATTGAATTTATTTATGGTCTTATAATCAAAGAATAAAATAATTTAAAAAAAAAAAGTTATCTACAAATTTATTCTATATCTTCTTACAATATGGTTTTAAAATCCATATCTGGTTTGCCTAGTGCAATACATTTTTGTCATTCGTCAATATTTTTAACTGAACTTGATTAGTATTGAATGCCTTTGAAAAGTCCGTATACACCACATCTACTTCCAGCTTGGATTCGATAGCTTAGTAGACAAAAGTAGTGAAATCAATCGCACTATACCCAGGCAAAGTTGATGCAGTACAGTCCACTCAATTAACAATTAGTTTTCCCGAAAATGGTAGACCTGATATTGGGCGGTAGTTTAAGACATCAGTTATACTGCTCGATTTTAAATTATAATATACTTATATTAAAATAATAAATTTTAAAATATTTAAACGTATTTTGGCCAAATAAACAAACTGAAAATTATTGTCTGGTCAAAAAATAAAACATATATACATTTAAGCAAGTAGGTGTAAAATTAAGTATTTACCTCTTTTTTTTAGTTAATAAATAAGATGAGTATTTTTATCTTAATTTTGTATAAATGACATTTGCAGCAGGAAATGATCTACTCCGCCAGGCATGGACCATTAATAAATATGGGCCTGGTATGTATATTCTTTAGTATTATACGGATTTTTTGTATTTATATCTATTATTTTTGTAAGTATATCATTTCATATTGATTTTTCGATTATTAAAAATGTAAATTTCCATTATATATATATAATTCGTACGAGATTCCTGAAGCTGCTATTAATTTATGTTTCTTACATTATGTTTTTTTCTTCAATAATTCGTTATATTTATCCTAAATTTTATAATTTTTTTTATGAACAAATAATAAATGTTTTCTGAACATTTCTACTAGTCGATAAGAAGCTTTAGAACAATATTTTTCAGCTGGTATTAAAATATAAAAGTTTAGGCAAGCAGGAGAGGGGTAACGAGCAAATACTTGTCTCTGTGCGTATTACTTTGCCGCACAACCATTTCTGTCTAATAATTCCAAGAATAAATTTATTTTTAAAAAAAGTTTTCTATATCTTCTGAAAATATGGTTTTAAAACCCACATCATATTTGTATGTATAGTATGTGTAATACATTATTATATTAAGTTAAGTTATTTGTTTTTTTTTTTTTTATGACCACTGCAATCATTAGATGCAAATCGCTCTCTAAAATGTATGTACAAAATTACAAAAATATTATAGTTTATATATTTTAACCTTTTTTCCGTTTTACATTTTTTTTTTTGTATTTATCAAATTAACTTGTTTAACTATTTAGCTGCTTCGGACGATAGTGGTATGTACAAATGTAAATTACAACTTAGCTGTGTTCTAAATATTCAGTTAAATTATTAATTTAAGGGGAACAGAAAGCGTTTTTTTATTAAGGGGTAAAGGATAGGCAATATTTGACAAAAATTGATCTAGTAGCCATTTTTAATATGCCAACTAATTTTAAGGTGAAAAAATATTAAGCTTTTCTAGTTTTAATACTTTTAAAGTTATTCTTCTCCGAGTTTTGGTAGAAGTTTAATGAAAAATTACTGTCGTAAAAGTCATTTTCTGGTTCATCTTTCGTACGGTTTTCAATTTTTCTTTTTCTTATGTGAAACTTACAATATTTTCTAAAAGGCCGATTTTTGATTTAGCAATAAGAAAATTAGCTAGATTTGTTGTAAAAAAACTATTAAAAAAAAGGTAAAATATTAATTGAGGTTCCTAGAAAACAAGGGGTATAAGTGACATTCTTTAAATTAATAAAATGTCACTTATATCCCTTGTAATCTAGGCGCCTCAATACTTCTACCGTGAAAACAAAAATAAAAAATTGGTTTTTAAACCCCCCCCCCATGCTAAATTATATAACAACAATAAAATTGTAGAAATCTTTTTGGTAGACACTTCAGAAGGTGACTTATCGTTTTAGTCTTTATTAGTAAAAAAAATTACACTTTCCATTCCCCTAATATAATTGCTATGTAAGGAAAATACTAAAATTATTAGTATTTATTTATAGTATTATTATAAATGTGTGCATAAAATAAAATGTATAATTGTTATAAATATAATATAAACGAGGTTATCCATTTAACATGTAGAAGATTCGGTAATATGGGTTGTGATATTTTTTCTATTTCAATCCATTAATAATTAAATAACATTGATATAATATAATTATTCTATACAAATATACATGTATCTTTATGGTAATACTACATACGTATATAATTTTAGCTTCAAATGATGGTAAAAAATCAGGTAAGAGCTCATATTTTTAATTAAAAAACTTAACAATACTACATATTATGTATATCAATATGTGATAGTTATTTATTTTACTTATAATTTGAAACGACCTCATAATTTTATCTATAAAAATAACATCCGATTATGTACAATATTGCATGTTTAGTGATGGTAATGATATTTTTAATCGACCATAAGACTATTAGATAAAAGAAGAAGTTTTTGTAAAGAAAACTGTAGTTGGAAGACCATTTATGTAACTTATTCTATAAGTTGGGTCAGGTTAGGTAAGAATAAGTTTTTATGTCCTAGCAGGCCAAACGAATGATAAGAAGGTCTATTTATCTTTATATTCTCGAACAAAAATAAACAATTTTAGTTATTTTACAAAAGTACTATGTAAGGAAATCACTTTGTGTTTCTTTACGCACCCAAATGCTGAAAAATATTTTATTTGTATTCAATGAAATTTTCTGCTAAAATAACTAAACCGATTTTGACGGTTCTAAACGGAAAATTATCCCAAGTTTTCCTTAACTAGTTTAATGCTGGCGAGATTCACTTTTCTAAAATTCAAAATACCATATATGAGTTCTTTATTCATTTTTCGGTATTGGTTTTTATAAGGTAAACATTGAACTAAGTCAGACATGAAAAATTATTTAGTCGGGTATTATGTTATAGAAATTTAGGGTTATGACGTCTTCCTAAAAGCATGTCGAGGAATTATTTCGATGAAAAACAAATCTCTTTGTTTTATGACTGCCATTAGTTATTAAAAAAATATTTGTTTAAATTTCAGGTTGTTCAAACTGTAGTGAGTATAATAAAATTATTTTTTTTTTAATTTATTGTACTTTTATCAAATAAAATCATTTTATTTTTAAAACATATTAAAAGTTTCATAAACCATTATAGTTATAAAGTTTTAGAATGATTAACATTTTATATTGAACTACATAAAATGTCTGAGCATTTTCATTAAATTTAGTTAGGGATTTAGCTAAAAACGTTGAAACAATAAACCTGTTATCAAATGGACTGCGTTTCAGAAGAAATTGTGATAAGTATTCCATGATTTTAGTGATAATTGGATAATATATACAATATTTTTTAAATGTGTCGACTGTGGTAAAATACATGTAAAAACTCACAGAAGAGAAATTAAAACCCATAATTTCTACTTCTGTGGGGAATAGTTTATGTTGTGAATACGATTAACGAGTAGGTGTAGGTAAGCGCAGTCCATTGGTAATAGATGTATGATGGAAACCATATTGATATGATATTTTTTTTAGGCTGCACCATATTGTAAAAGAGGTCAGATGTGAGTAATTAGTATAATTAATATTTTTTTATGTTACAATTTTATATTTTTAAACTAAAGAATGCTGATCTGTAGTTTATCCTCACTTAATTTTAAAAATAATATTTTTACCACAAAATAATACATATTGTAATTGTCGACTAGGTATTTTATTAGTACCTTTCATATTTATATTACTTTTTAAGAGTCATAATTATTATCTTTTTACTGTAATACAACATAATATTTATATTATAAAAAATGTCTTATGAATTAACTGTAAAATATTAATTTTTAACATCTTTCTTATGTAATACATTTTTTAAGATTAAACTTGCTATTAAGTGTATTTACGCTCAACATTATAAAAAATGTCCTTGGTTATAATACTAAATTGGTAACATAATATAATATTTCTATACATATTATACAATATGAATTTAATTATGCTTTGATTTTTTGATTCCTGTTAATGTTCCAGCCAAAATTCTCATTTTACTATCTATAAAAATGTATTTTACAGTTAAGTAGGGTAGGAATTTGCTTATAATGTTTCCTAGTTGCAAACCGAATGGAAATAAAAAAATATAGGTATTATTCGTATTATGTATAGAAGACAGTGTTTGTTAAAAATTTTATTTCATATGACATATCTTTCAATAAGCGAGCATTAAAAAAGATATCGTAGACTATTTCAAATAATTTTGTTGATGAAAGATCATGTAAAACTAGAACTATCCAGTAGTATATCCAAGGGTATAACCACTTTATTGCTCAAAACATTATTTTCAGAAATACTAATTTGAAAGAGAAGCAAAGTGTGATAAATTGTGGCACCAAGGCTTCCTTTTTTATTTAAAATACACCTTCCCAACATATTGCTATTCGTTGTTTAAATTATTTTTAGAAGACGGACACTTTTTTATACTTCCATTTCGTTGGCTTAGTCATACCTTAAATAATTCTCATCCCAGCTGGAGTCCCTCAAGGCGCAGCCCCAATCCAGGGGCTAGAACTGTTTCTAAAAGAAACGGGGTTTGGAACCGGAATTGTTAAAGGTTTTGGCTCTCTGACATAAACTGTTAAAAATGATTAATCACTAATAAAATGGCAAATTTATGTTGAATTTTGTCCGAGTCTGGTCGTTGAAATTGTCAGGCGAAATATTATAATTAAAAATATTTTTAGTTATTTATTATTTATTGTTTTGTAATTTGTGGATAATACATCTGTCCTCTATTTACCTAACAATTATAAAGATGTGGTTTTTCCAACAATGGTACTCTAAACCTGATCATGTTTTATATTAATAAAAAATATTTGTTTGAAAATAACGAGTTATTTAAAATGCGCAAAATAATACCTAATTTATTTTTAATACATTTTTGTATAACTTCATGTATGTATCTAGTTATAAATTATATTTTAACCGCAGATATATTATAAACTTACCAGATGGCGACGACCATTTCCAAAGGTGTTTATGAGAGTATGTCCGTGGCAGCCATTTGCTCTTTCAGTAAGACCGTTGAAATCATGCCCAATGAAATTATCAGTAGAATTAGTCCTAGCGGTCGTGTCAGTTACGTTCAAAGTTCTAACACAGATTTTATAACCAATCATTACTTATCATTTTTAAATATTCCCATATGTAATTACGGCAGTATTCCATAGAGAATACATAACAAATATTATGTTTATTGTATTTGTTTTTCAACATAACACGATGAAGTTTTTTTTTTAAACGTCGTTGAAAGGGTGAAAGTCAATTAGGATTTTATTAAATGTTTTGCTTTATTAAAACGTAGCATAGTAATTAACTGTTGACGAGTTATAGTCATTTTTTTTTTTTGTATTCCGTAAATCGTTTACCAAGTAATTTTAATCTTCAACTATAAGAAATAATCGGATAAAAAAAATAAATCAATAACAATCGTCAAATAGTGTATATTTTTATTTCTTGAACTATGTCATACATAATACACAAAAAAAAATATATATATTTAATAAGTAAGTAGAGTCAAATTGAAGCATACTGTTTACACGAATGGATGGATGAGAGTTATTAACAACCTCCAATCGGTTACAATTTCACTGGTGTTTGACCCAGAGGTGGTATGATTTCTCCTGTGCTATCACAACAAGTCGATTTCAATCAAAGAAGAATCGACACTCAACAAAGAAGACGACGACGACGACGACCGAGATTTGACAAATGCGGTGAAATCGTCACAAACCGTGTCCGTCAGTCGTGTGTTGTTCCTGTAAAATTTGTACAAGGCTGCTCTATAATTGATCTCCAATGTCTTGTCGAGCCCGTCGTTTTTTTTCCATGCTATGTACAGGTCCAACAAAGACAGCATGTCATTTTGCCGGAAGAATTCGACGACTAATTCATATGAATCGCACTTTTCAAACAAGTAGAAAACGTCGTCGCCCAAAGAGGTGTATACGATATCGAATTGGACAGTATCGTCGCCATAGAGATCCCTCTGGTGTCTGTTGATAAAGTCTTGAATGCCATTGCAGTCCGTCACAACTTGACCTGGGTTCTGTCCGTAGAACCCGTATAGAGCACTCAAGTACTTATCTTTAGACAGTTCGTCGCCGTTGTTCATGTACGCCTCGTACAGTGATACGATTTCGGTCATTCCCCTATACCGGAAAAATTCAAGGATTTGCACTTTATCGAAAGTCTCGAAGAAGATGAAAATATCGACGTTGTCTGGTGTGTAGACCGCCGGTGGTACTTCACATTTACAAGTAGCCGGGCACGATGACGCTAAAGTAAACGCCTGTGGGCAACCAACAAACAATATTAATAACAAAATATGACTCTTACATTTACACTTCAACTGAATGGATTCAATTAACAAAACAATGCAACTCCAACGCCATTTGCAAAGTTAAATTCAGTAAACAAATATCGGATAAATTTAAAACAATTCCAACTGGACTCAGACAGGGTGATGCGCTATTAACGACCCTCTTAACACCGCACTTGAAAAAGACTCTCAATCTGTTTTATTTTGTCAATAGATATTAATCCTTTAAAATCCACACAACATTTATCTTGTCACTCTCGCTCAGATAATATGTTATAATATGGTTATTAACAAACCGAGAAATATATTTTTAACTTACAGTTACTGCTAGGGCCGCAATGAAGAAACAAGCTTTTGCAGACATTATTTTGATGAACGCCAGCCAATATTATACTTATAATATGTTCCAAAAAACTGATGATTCCAAAAAGAATACCGTTGGCTTTTATACGATTTCGAATTTGTCAATGTCCCAAATCCATCAAGAGCTTTATTTTAATAACGTTTTATTTAGAAAAGCCTATATAGTGTTTACTAATGTGACATAAAAACTCCCATTAATAAGTCGATTATCTGGTCATCAATATTTTTCAAAATGTGTTTGAAAATATGAAAATGTTTAACAAAGGCAAATAGACCAACATTTAATAGTATCCGTATTTTTCCACTTTGTACACCAACATACGCTATTGTAAATATATAATATTTACAAAACAAATGTACGTTTGTTTTGTATCACGTTTATTATAATATGACGCATCCAACTATGATTTTGTGTAAGTATAACACGATAACATGACAAAATCACAAATGTATACAAGAACAAATCATTAAAGTTCTAATTAAGTCCCATTCACGTTCTTGTTAGTACTTGTTCTGAGCGATCTGGCTGCCATGAGAAAATAATAAAAATTTCAACTCCACACGCAGAATCGAAAACGAAAATCAAATTATCGTCTCAACTGTTACTTTGTTGGAGTTGAGAAAAAAATCTGCAGCAGTTACCCAACATCACTTTAGGATTGTTTTTTTTAGCAAAACCGTTGTAGATACTTTGTGCGTGTATTTCATTTTTTACTATAATTTTTAATTTTTAGATATAGATGACCAAATATATTTGAGCGGTCCGAATACAAATTTAGTTAAATGCTCATTCGCCACGAAATTGGTCAAAAACAGACCAACAGACATAATTTTAGGAGGTAACTTGTTTTTCTACTTAAAACATTTTTATTCTTAAAAGCAATGGTGTTGATAAGGTGTTTGTGGGTTCTCCAAAACCAATGACAAATAGGTACAATATTCTACATGTTATTTTCACAGACTCTGCACATTTTAATTATTTACACATCGAATTTGAGTTTACAGTTTTGTTAGTTTATTTTTTTTTTTTTTGCTTAATGTATTTACTACACATATTTCAAAATTATATTTGAGGTGTCAATAAAATGACAGAAAGGTGTACACACACAATTCCCGAGTTAAATACACAAAATTGGAAAGCAAATTAACGAGCGCGTTATGTTTGTTAATATAGTAAAATGTTTTTATCAATATTTTTTAAAACTGTCACAGGTCTGATCTTTGATCTACTGATCTAATCATATTTAGAAATAATGTTGATTTATGAAAAAATATAGCCTAATTAAACGTGCTGAAAAGCATTACCATAGGTTAAGAATTATAAGTGCTAAAACTACTATCTCCAGAAAGCCCTAATTACTCCTAACTTCTAAGTAGAGCTAGTCTAAAATAATTTTTTACTTAATATAAAACTACTTATAATTATAATCTATTTTCACCAATAAAACCCTTGTCAGAAATAGGTAATAATTAATATACCCTAATTCCAATATGATATATTAAATTGGAGAAGAGAAAATTGTTCTTTATTTCCCTTCATAGCAATAATCAAGCAGCGGCTGTAATAAATTATTATAAACAAAGGAAAAAACGATCACTTAATTTCTTTTAGATTCACCGGTCATTTTAAATGAAGACTTGGATGTTTATTCTTTTTTTTCGTCTAGTAAAAATCCTTCTTTAAAAATTTGAAAATTAATTTATTTTGTTTTGTAAAATTATAGTTTACATTGTTTTTAATTTTAATAAATTGGTAAATAAATAATAATTATTAAACAATATTATTATTACAAATTAAAAAAAGAATATCATGAACAAGCGATAGTAAAAGTTAATCTTTGAAGAATCAAATACAAACGTAATGTATTATTTAATATGGTTTTAAACATGTATACCTACATATTTTATGACTGTTTACAATATTTATACAAATTAAATTATGTTTTACCAGTATATTTAATATTTTATATTATACTACTTCTTATGGAACTATATATGTCCTAAGGAAAAAAAGTTTTTAGTAACATTAACCATTAGTAAAATTGAGTGATAAATCAATAACAAAAACATAATGTGTTTATTAAACATAATAAAATGAAACAAAATACATTTTTCAAGAGGATCATACATCCTGAAAATGCTGTTTATTTATAAGAAAAATATATTGTAAAACAAAAAACGGACAAAACATTATTTTTATTATTATTATTTATGAATCCAAACATTTTTAATTATCAATAAATCCAATTTAAAGTAGTTAATCATATTTGCCTAAAACTGTCGTGTTTGTCTTATAGTTATACCAATTTGAAAATATAATAACAAAGTTTAATTTTGAATTATGAGTCGATTTTGGATGGTTCTGAAAAATATAAAAATATTGGTAATGTAAGTAAAGAAATTTATATTTTGTAGTGAGTTCAGAAATCAAGCCGCATAGTAGCGTTTGGCTGTGATTTCATTACTTTTTAATAATGATCAAAGATGAAGATTTCATCTCATACTCATTAATAGCTCAAAAATTACAATTATAGACATTAGACTATTAAATTACCGATCTTAAAGTCAAGGAGATATCTTTTTATTTTATTCACAAACTAAGTGGAAATTTTGCTTTATTTATCTAACTTGCTACTTGATTTCATAGTTGAAATTTTATAATTAAACAGCTTGTTAAATAGGCAGACTAGCCACAGAATAATACTATTATGTCTGTCTTGAAAAATAAAAATGTTGTTCAATTCCATTCAGACATAGTAATAGTGACCAACCTGTGTTATTCGTTCGGAATAAACCCATAAATTCCAACATTTTTTTAGAATTTTCTTGAGTTCTATATATCTTCTCTATGGGTTTAGTCATTAAAAGATAAAATTCGTCGTAGGCTAAGCGATTATTTGTACCTAGAAACAATAAAATATATGTGTATAATGTATTGCAAATAATAATTATGTGTGCAATAATAAATATTTAAAAATTTAGTGCCGCGAGCAGATAATGGGCTATCAACACTTCGGGCAATTTTTGAAGTAGGCATCTTCAACGTTTAGAACAGGGTTCCGTAACGTAACGAAATATAACGTTATAAACTCAATTATTTCGTTCACCAAAATAAAGTTCTCAGAACATAACATAATATTAGCATATGTTTGGTGAACGTTATACCGAATAACGTTTTAAATGTATTTGCTCCGAGAACGTTATACTGAATAATGTTATCATTTGTTTCACCCCGGCAACGTTAAAACAAATTTTGCTAAGTTAGGTTAAGTTAGCAAAAAATAGTGATCTAAAACTGGTTATCGACCAGTCAAAATGTTTACTACATTATTCTTTATCACTATTTTTGCTAACCTAGCCTAACTTAGCAAAATTCGTTTTAACATTTCGGGGTAAAACAAATTATAACGTTATTCGGTATAACGTTCTCGGGGTAAAATAAGTTATAACGTTATTCCTAGTTAACGTTCATGAACATAATTTTGAACTGAACGAATAAATAACGGTTAACGGAACCTTGGTTTAGAATACAATTATTAAATGAAACTAATAATATAGTTATAGATAGGAATAATGTATAATAAATAATTAAGTAATATGGAATTATTTATTTCTCGTTTTTCTTTATTTCGCTTTTGTATGTGTTGTACAGTACTAAAGTCTGAAAACAAATACTTAAAGAACATCTGCTCTGACTCTGTTACAATAACAAGTTATTCAGGCATAAAAACAATTGTTTAACAGCTTTGAAGTACAGCAGCTATAGCTATGACCTATATGTGTCATGAAAAAACAATAACGAACAAAAAACCACTGAATATTTTACTTTTAAACGTGTATAGTGTTATAAACTAAGCGATAAGCAAATATGAAAAAAAAACAAAATGTGTTTTTATGATTCATACCTAGAATATGAAAAGCTAGTACAGGGGGATTGGAGCATGGTGGGGACGTTCCTGTATCTTCGGTCACAGGTCTTCAAGATTTACAATAACTGAAAGTGATAAAATCATTTTCAAATCAAAGTTCTGATGCGAATCTCTGGACACTGCACCTCACTTAAATAATTTCTTACTGTTCTGGTTTTTAGCTGAGCTTTGTTTGAACTGTACTAGTTTAAACCAACTATTGATAGTTATTAGCTATCAATTGATAGCATCGAAGCGTTTATTGAAAATTGATTTTATCAAAAAAAATTGTTAGGCTGGTTTTCGAATTTAGCAGAAAACTCCATTAAAATGTATAATGTAATTTGTGATTTGTCAAAAAAAAAAATATATTATTGCTAGCGTATTTGAATATTATTTAGTTATTGTTTAGATGTTATACAATTGATTAAACTAAACACTAGAGCTATAATAGTTATTTTATGTTTAATTATAAGTATGATTTGTTTCTACTCATTACCCTTTTTAAAAATGTTAATACGATCACTTAACACTTTGACCATAACATTAGACTGAAAGAGACCAATGGTGGGAAGAGGGCTATGTGAGGATGATGTGAGGAGTATGCTTTATTATTGTGAAACAAACATTTTTTATCAAAAAATTAGACTTCACATAATATACTTCATAACTGTTGATAATTAACTGAAAATTGTATAAAACACTATAAATTGACATACCCATTTCAGTGAAGTACTTTTTTAGTTCCTTATCGAGTTCATCATCACTGAACTGCATAAGTTCTTCAAACTGTTTTAAGGTAAGCCATCCATCCTTATCCGTATCTAATAGGGTAAACATACCTTTTATCTATGACAAATATGTATTCAAAAAATGTTTATTAAAATTGAATTATCGGTCGATCAGAAAATTTGAGAGTAACATAAGTATCATCCATAAAATGATAATCAAATAACAAATTATATTACATTACGCAATGTTGAACTTCAATGAGTTAAAATCGAAGAAATATAAAACGTTAAAAAAGCTACTATCTCTATTGGATAAGAGATTTTCCTTTACTGGGTTTTAACTTTATTATTGCTGTACAACGTTATGTATAAAGAATAATCACAGCCAAAACTGTAACTATTTTTAATAATTTTGGAAAGTTGCAAAATAAATATATATTTTAAAATTTGTTTAAGGTTTATACTACGATTTCAAATTCATGTACATGTAATTTAAAATATATAGTATTTACTTCTTCGTCAGTCATCTGCGGTGGTCTCACTACAATTTTGCTACTCGATTCAGGAGCTTTTCTTTTTTTTTCTAAAACGGTTAAGGAAGAAAATATGAAAAATCCAAATAAAATAACTACACATAAAACCATATTAAAGTGCATATTCATTCTTGTCAAAAGCAAAAACTCCAAAAGATGTATGTTAAACTAAAAAATATGAATAAAGTTATCCTCACGGTCCATGAATAAAGAAAACAATATTTTTGTGTTATAACAAATAATGTTTATTTGTCAAATAACCTAAACTACATAGTGACTAATAATATTACGTACACCATGTGAGCTGAATGACTAACGGCGTAGGTTATGTACCATCTGTTTCTAGATTTGCCTAGATTGTGCCCGTTCCGTCATTATAAAATGTTCTAATGTAAAAAAAAAATCGTTTATTAACCATATTGTAAGCTAGTTGTGCCAGAACCAAAATGTATTTAATACTTTCTTTTAAAATATTATTATAACTAAATATTTAGTGTTTTGGATATTATGATAATATATTTAAATCACTTGAGAAATGAAAATGGAATTTATTAACACATTAGGTGACAAAGAAATGAAACTGAATTATTTATATTGAATGTTTACTCCGCACGTACTGTGTGTAAACATCCACTGAACTGAATTTGAGACTGACTAACGACGCCGTAGCGACTAGCGTCGGCTTTCAAACCATCACTGGTGCATCTAGAATAATCTATCCCGTACCCCTGGCATGTATGTGTAATGTTCTCGAACCTTCGCGCACGTGTGTTTTATATTGCCTCTCCGCCACGAAATTTCCAGAACATTCCATAATATGTGGTAACAGTACAAATACATTAATTTTAATCTAACAAAACAATTTATAATTCCTTAAGTAATGTGTGTCTCACTTAAATATCGTCTGTAACTAGTTTAACTAGACTGACTATTACTATTGATCAAACAAAGTTGTATACCCTAGTGTTGTAACACCCTTATTTATACGTACACATTTTTTAAAATGAAAAATGAATTATGATAAATAATAAAAACATAATTTCGACTTATGTAATCATACCATTGACATGTGACGCGTTTTATTATTATTTATTTATCAAAAATATTCAATACAAATAACAGGGATTACAACTACAAGAAAAAACAGTTTTTTTTATTTCTATAACAAATAATGCGATGCATATAAATAGTGTGCATCATATAAATAATTCAAGTATTTTATTATTCATAATTTATATGAAGTTTTTGTCATTAATAATCAAAATAATTAAACGACTACGTTATGTATAATAATACTACATGCTACTTACTATTAACAAATTATTGTTTTAATTATATTTAACAGCAATATTAGTAATATTAAGCATTTATATGTAGATACTTTACAATATAACTGGGTATAAGAACATTGCAAACATAAAATCCGAGGGCGGGATTATTTTATAAAACAGTATACTTTTATTTTAATACGAACTAATTAAAAAAATAAAAAATCTTAGTTAACAAACAAGTTAATTATGGCCAAAAATTAAAATTATAACCAAGTTTAAATGAACTCACCTTTTTAATGCACTCATGTTTTTATTAGTTATCTACAAATGCATCCCTTGAAATGACCACATAATGTGCTCCCACATCCACTACATCCTCCACATTTGGTACACCCATTACATCCTCCCCATCCTGAACTACATCCCCCACATCCAGTATATCCCCCACATCCACTACATCCCCCACATCCACTACATCCCCCACATCCGGTATATCCTCCACATCCACTGCATCCTCCGCATCCACCACATCCACTGCATCCGGTATATCCTCCACATCCGCTACATCCTCCACCACATCCACTGTATCCTCCGCATTTTCCGCATCTTCCGCAATCACCGAAACTGGCACTTCCACTGCCACCATCGGATCCTCCATAAATAGGCGCACTGACTGGTGCAGGTAGTACCCAAGCATTACTGGCCCCACTTCCTCCATTGCTGCTGGATCTACCTCCACATGATTTTATGTGAACAACGCAAGCCTTAATCAAAATAAAAATGATGAAATTAAGATAGTATGCATAGTATGCATAGTTACTTAATTATTGTATTACTTACCTGAATTACATTAGCAAGGAGAGAAAATACTACAAATACTATTGATAATTTAAATGTATACATTTTAATATTTTAATAGAATTGTAGCTAAGCAAATACAAAGTACAAGGCACGTGACAGTATAAAATATGTATTTAAATTTAATACCAGTAAATAAAGCTTCCTACAGTCTATTGTGATTGAACTGGAATTTTGTAACTGTATTTATACTTATAAAGGCAACGTTTGTCCGTACGTTAATCGAATTGTAAACATTTAAATTTATATTTTTAATTGAATACTTTTCAAAGTATTTTTTTCTTTAATTGTACGTGTTCTAATCACGTTAAACTTTTTTCCTAAGTATTACTTGAAAACGCACGTATTTTGTTGTCTATAATTCACATCAAAAACCGATTAATCGCAATGGTGACATTGAAGCAATATTCTATTTTTAAGCATATAATACTATACGTTAACTTTTAACTTATTTATTAAAATAGTTTTAAAAGTGGTAACTAATAACAATTTACTACTGTATAAAGTTCTAAACCAATTTTTTTGGTTTTAGCTTTTATTTTACAATAGTACTATAATCAAAAACATGCATGGCGTTTGGGCATATGCGAGTAGTGATGTCACTGAAAGCCAGTTTTCTGAAATACTCGAATATTCAGATATTATTTTTTCAAAATGGAAACGATTCTATGCAAATTTATGGATAGCAAATTTTTCTGTGTGCTGATTTTTAAAACTAATTATTAAACATAACTTTTGACAATTAGACATAATAATGGTTTTATTTAAAACTCATGTACATAACACATAACCCTGTATTTGAATTCTCTAGTTTAATTATTATAATTTCTTTCCGCCACAAAAATATTAAATATTTCTTTAGTGATAAGATTTTTTGTTTTATATTAATAACTTTATAAATAATAAAAGGATTTAGGAAAGAGGGGACACGTGACCCTATCGTCCCCTACCTTAGTTTCGACTGTGTTCTCCACAAGCTGTTTAGTAGACCTAACCGAGAGTATAAAATTGTCCCACCTATATGTAATAAAGCCAGTTAGGTAAGCAAATACGATGTAAGTGTTCCTCAATAAAATTATTTGTATAATTATATACAGCTCTACATATCTCCATTAGTCGATTAAATTTTCAATTGCAAACCTTAACTAATTTAATGTAACCCAATACAAAACTAAATATTCTTCTAAATTGAGATCACACTAGATCTTCAGGTCTGAGGTCAGCACATGCCCAGTTCATATTTAGCTGTTACATTATTCAATGTTATACTGCTCTTCGAGATTTCACAAACAGTTTTGGAACAGCTTTATTCAAATACGTTGATTGATTTAAAGTAATAATTATTTCTAACGGAAACCCAACACAGGATCTTCTTAATTTCCTTTCCCCAGACGTATAGGAATTGACCACAACTACTTATGTAAGTCTATCAGTACCTACATTATGTAGTACAAGCACTTTTATACCGCTAAACTAAAATCATTTATCAAACATATTTTTTTTTAAATGTTTACTATTATGGTTGATTTTTTAATTTAATGAGCGTTGAATAAAATCGATTATGCATTTGAGATGATATCGATGGCCTTGCCGGTTTTAGGGTAAAAAAAACAGTAAATATGATTATCACTGCTATTATTATTATTAACTGACACAGAAGTGGCATACGCCTAAGTAATCATCCTAGCAAGTATACGTTATAGTAGATTTCAAATGTTATTCCATCCCATTGTGACAAAAGTAAAACCCAGTTAAGTTTTAACAAAAATAATGTAAAATACACAAAACAAATATTTGTATAGTTTTTAATTCACACATTATTCAGATGTACATATCATACCATATATTATTATTATTATTATTATTATTGAAATGACACTTTATTATTAATATAAATACAAATATCAATTGGGTTAGTTTCTAATTTATTTCGATAAAAAATGTATACAATGATATTATTTTTTGGTACAATAAAATATCCCACACAATATATATGCCATTTGCGTTTCAGTAAAGCTGAAACAAAACAATAAAGGTTGTCAAGGAAAATTAACTGTAACATTATTATTAATAATATGTATAGTGTATATAACACATACAAAAAAAAAATTATTTACATTGTGTGCACGTGCTTGGAAAGTCTTTTGCACAACCTTGTGTGTTTAAAACAGAAAATGTCTTAGACAGAAAAACAAAAACAGCCTGCTTCGCTTTTATATACATTAATAACCCATTAACGCGCGAAAAATAGTACAGGGGTTAAAATTTACATTTTGGTTTGATCCTATTCAAGTATAGCGGACGCATTTAAAAAATATTAATATCTGTCATCCCTTTCTGAAGCGAATGCACGTCACTGCTTCGCCCTTATAATAACATCATTAGATGATCTCCACACAGCTCCTTATGTTGGTGCAATCTTTAGCTTCGCACTCTGGTTCATTGGAGCCGCATTCGCATTCACCGTTTTCCTTATCATGACCACAACTACAATAGTCGGACAACACTTCCTCGTTTTCATTTAGCTCACCGCTCTCCGTTGACCCTTCAGTCGAATCACTGCACACCACCGAACGATTATCGCAAGATCTCCTCGACCTGTTCCGTGAGCCTGTGTAATATCCAAGCCCCGGCACGCTTCCCATAGTATTAGTATAGCTATCGTTCGATGAGTTGCATCCGACCAGTGGATTGGGCGAAAAAGCTGACCTGGACGTAACGGCGTCAAGATACTCAGCTGTGGACCGTCTTCGCTTCAAGTAGTCTAAGTAGAGTCCTAATCGGGTTTTCGGTTTGTAAAGATCAACGTTTGTCGGATCGCATCCCCGACATCCCGGATTGTTGTCTACGAAGTGATCGCGTCGACTCGAGCAATCGGCCACTTGTCGTTTGCAAACTTCGTGTTTGTCAATACGACCGGCGTAGTCAAAAAACTCCTAGAACACACATATTAGCTTTTTGGAAACAAAAAAGGCATGGCCAGTGCAAAAGCCACGTGAGCGAATCAAAGGTGACCCAAGACAATAGCGATATCACGACAGAGGATACAAAGAAAAACAACCATTGCTGGTAACCGTGCATACTTTGCAAATATTATAATTTTCAAGTCAATACCGATGTCAAGTGAAGTAGAGAAAGACGGGTGTAGGGAATATAGCCTGTAGCGCTTAGGAGTAGTACTCAGAAGTAGTATGACAAGAGTTTCAATAAAGTCTCACCGGCTTACACGGGCCCGGACACTTGTTGTAGGTTCTGTCGATGATTGCATCAAGAGGTCCGAATTTGTAAACAGGTTTAGCAGCCACCGGTACTTGGAGTTGATAATCGAAATCGCGATACGAAGGTGGACACGGTGCCACGGGAGTGTCGACTTCATACGGATAAGAACTTCTGGTAAAAGACAAATTGTTACATTTGAAATAAATATACTCCAGCAGTGCACGAGGGATGAGAGGTGAACTCAACGTGCGGTGATTTTAGAAATTACATAATACACAGTCCACTAACTTCGTTACTGATGAAACCGGAAGTGGTAGTTGGAGATTATAGGAAAACCCACTGCAGACAGGTTGCTCGGCGGCACGTGTGTAAAAAGGATTCTGAAAACCCATTATTGAGGATACATTAAATGATATCACATATGTCTCAATTTAATATACACTTAACATATTATAGAACAAACTTACTTGAAAGCTCGGATAACTTGTGCAGGGACACGATGGTTTGAGTAGACTGTAGAATTTTTCTTTCTGAGAAAATCTATTGCATCCGCATGATGGACAATTAAACTGTAAAAAATACTACTTTAGATTTTATGATAGCCTGAAGCTTTTGTGTAAGGCGTCTGGCTTAACGATAACAGGACTGATTTTTTCTGATATTAATAGTACTAAAGGTACTTCATGTGGCTAAATATTGTAAAAGTGCACTCCCTCAAAATTTATTCTAAACCAACACAGTAAGATATTGACAAAGTGGGTAGCCTCTAAATTTGTCAATCGCTTTATATCCGCAAGTTCGCTTTAACGCTTTTGTCATTGATTTTTTTAAAACTTTTTTTAAGAAAGGTTTAAAAAAATTCTCTTACCGGATTTATGGGCGTTGCGCTGAACATCTACAATTTAAAAAAAAATGTATTAGTATATTGTGATTATTACATTATCTAAAACATATTTCCAGTAAGCAACTAACCTGGATTGTTAACAACGCCAAAACAGCTACTATCCAACAGACTTTACAGGCAGGGACCATCTCGACGAGTTCGTATGTCTGGAAGTCAACGATAATTTATTAAACTATAATAATAATAACAATATGATCACTCATAATTAATCGATATGGGTTTATAAAGCCCGTTCAAGGTTCACCGGACGCGGCGGAACGACCGTTTGTTGTTGTTTACATTTTCTACGGTTTGTGTGTTGACATTATTGAAACTCGGCCGTGGAATCACGATTCTGTTTTTTTTATGATTTATTATTATTTTTTTTTTTTATAAAAAAACCCATCACGTAGGTTATTTGCCTTGGACGATTTTGGTTTTTTCGTCCGGCCGATTTTCCCCAAAAAAAAAAACGCCTAAAACGTTGACGGCGTTGTTATAGGATCCTATATAAAACAAACGGGTAGCCCGAAATCATTTGCAAAAACCCAGTAAGCCGTTTGTTGGCCGTGTTCACCAGAAAGGACGTCGCCATGAAGTCGGTGATTTTGATTTTAGTCATCGCCGTCTTGAGTGTAACCCATTGTTCTCCAATGAGGCCATCGTGTGGTTGTGCCGGGTCGAATGTCTGCAATGGCTGTTTATCAAACGTGAGTACTCTGTTGTTATTTCTTAGGGAGCGACCACTTGAATATTTTAACCCGTGTAAGCGTTCAAGTTTGAATTGCTCAGGTCAAATCGTCGCCCCCCGGCTACAAGTATGTGTGCACCAAAACACCGACTGCCCAACAGTTCTCGCCGATAAAGAGCAATTGCGATTTCGCCAATACGAGGGTAGGTACAAAGTATGTTTTGAGTAACAGTCAAAGTTCTTTGACTGTTGAGTTATTGTAATACAAATATGGTGTCTGCCAACAAAAATTAAGTAAATGATCAGAGTAAATGGTCCACCAGAAGAACTTTATTAGGCCAGTCGTTTATAAAGTTAACCCCGTGGAAAAAGTACATGTATACAACAATTATGAATGCGGTCTTATGGAAATTTCATAAATATCACATGTGACTTAGTCGCCTTTTTCCAAATTCTAACCAGAGTATTGTAATAGTTTAGTGTGTTACATGTTTTGCATAGGTTACTCCGGCGTTCATACCGAAAATGAGCTACGACACGGCACCGGGAATAACCGGGAACGGCTCGCCCGACCCTCGACCTTTTGGCGAGTACGGGGGCGCTTTCTTCCCGGTTGGCCAGTGCGGGACCCAACAAAATGGCGGCGTGACCGGGAGCACACCGGTCCAGGAGGACCCGCCCGGGTTTGACGGGATAGACGAACCGGCATCGGGGAACGCGTGCGACTGCGGCGCGGCCCCGGTGGCCGTGGACGCGGTCTCGCTGATGCTGGCCCAGGCCGAGGCCAACCGGTGTCAGGACATCCGCGAGGACAGGCTGCCATTCGGGCCGATCACCGTGCCGAAAGACGCGTTACCCGTGGTCACAACGGTCGACGTCAACGAAGAAGCCCTGTACGCCCTGGACAAGCCCATCGTGGAACTGAAAACGTGCAAGCGTTTCGGCCAGTGCGCTATGGCATCCGACACGGACGCGCTGCTGGCCCTGGAAGAGGACGAGCAATTGGAGGCCTGCGCCTCCGGTCCGTCGGTGAGCTTGCCCACGTACGAGCAAGTCGGGTACCAGATAGTGAAACCGGCGTGCGCTCCCCTGGTGGGCGGTCAGAACTTGACGCCGGCCGTTCCCGAACAGAACGTCATCTACAGTGGCAATACGATGCCCGCTGGCCTAGTAGGCAGCGGATGCCAAAATTGCAAACAAGACAAGTGTCGAGGTCCATCTACTTGCCAGGTCAGCGTGTATGGCCGGTGAATCATATTGATTAAACAGATTCTGTATTGTTTTCAGTCTGCACGCCACACGTCAATTTTAATGTTAATTTATTATTATAATTCGAAATATGTATGAAAATCGATTAAGTAAATAAAAACTTATCAAAAGAGAAAAATGCATGACATTGCAAGCATGATATACCTGGAAAATCTTTTAAAGCAGGTAGTACTTTAAAAAAAAGTGTTCAAGTGATCAAATTTTACTTTTATTCCACTTAACAAAATTCAATAATGTCTAATGACGTCGGATATAGGAACGCATGTCCCATACACAACTCCTTTAAGATTCTACTGCTAAAGCAAATAATAGTCTAATAATATTGATTTGCGTTATAATCTATACATATGGACTTAAATTAAAATATACTTGCTTGAAAAGTAATTAAACAATCAAAACTGAATGATGAAATCGATAAATAAAACAGATATTTTATAGCATATCTAGTATCTATAGGACGATAACTTCATACATTTTAATTTATTTTTTGTTAATTATTTAAAATAAGATGAGTTTACGAGATAACAAGTACATAGAAAATAAGAATTTGAACCCCTATTTGAAATCTGAATAAAGTGGGAACAACAATCGCTTTGGTTATGTTTTAGACTTTTTAGATAAAACGCAACTATTCACAATCACACCATCTACGAAAACATATAATATCATGATAAATGTTTTTTTTTTATTTTAGAAATATATAAATAAATGTATAAATATATAATAAATAATTATAACTATAGGGTACATATGATTGCAGATAGTAATATTTTACCGTCGTCAGGAGTGGAAATAATTATTCTTTATTACTTTTAATTTCTTTCATTCTGGTTTCTTCGACGATATCATTTTTTTTACCTGAAATATATATGTATAGGTGTTTAAAAAATCATTAAGGTATAAAAATAGACAAAAGTGTTGAGTGAAGCTTACCTTTGATTAATAACTTCATTAAATTCTTTTGAATTTTGTCGCACGGTGATTCTATCATGAAGTTGACTATAACGGCGATTATATAGGTGGACGTTATATCTCCACAAGTCATCCAAATCTATGCAATAATTTACATTCTTGTTTCAAGTCGATAACAATTTAGTATTAATTATAATAAAAAGTACACTAATCGATAGTTTTCACTTGCCAGTAGTGTATGGCTGGCATATCCGGGCGATCGCATGCTGCCAACGGTTATGAATTGAATCAGTTCTTGATACATGTAAACACAGTACGTCAATTTTCCCAAACAATTGAAGAGTTCGTGACCCAAGAAATCACTGATGAAATCTATGAGAGGAAAAACACATATTACTTGAAACCGTCAGTGAGGTAAATGATAATGCAAACGAGTCTACTTTACTTAGCCCGGTAGTACCGTGAGCGATGATCGCGAGGCTAATGATCAAAGCCCATGTAGTCCGCGTGGCCGTGAAAAATATCATGTGTACCCACGGGTCGTACGGCTTTCCCGGTGTATACAAAATATAAGTACTCAAAAACGCAGCATTGCCCATAACGATGCAAAATATAACGCTCAGGAAGAGTTGTTGCTATAGCAAAATATAATTCATAAAAATGTTAAGTATTAGCTAGTATGATTTAGCAATTGAATTGCGTCATTTTTTAGTTCACCTTCTTTACACATATTAAATTATTTATAACATCCATCCACTTCTGTATTGCACCTCTACTTTATAAAACACACTTACAGCTGACATGTTAACGGGGCAACTCTCGTATTATCTTTTACACACTCATTCCAAATAATTACATCTGATCCAATCGGTCCAGGTTCTATGAGAAGACACTGCGGGTGTAACGGTGCATTGTTTACCTTGGAAAACTGGTATTCGATCCGTTTGAGTTTTTCGTAGAGAACTGCCATGAGGAGTCCGACCAAGTACGTGGTGGCCCTGGTGTGACTTTTAACGTACATACCTTTGAAGTTGGGCTCGCTGTTCACGTCACGTATTGCGCTGATAAACGACAAACCAATCATAATGTGAGTCGGTGGGTTGGCTATACAAGGCGCTACCATTGGGGGAAACTTTGGAATAAATATAAATTTATGAAAATACTTAATATAAACTGGTTGCGATCCCCAGTATTTGTTGTCATATATAATTTTGGACGGCACGAACATGGACACGGCCAAGGCTGTCAACATCAGCCCAACACCCGCTTTTCTGTTTTTCCACGCCGCATACGTCAGCAACGAGCCCAGCAGGAAAAAGTGCATATCGCATGCCAAATACCACGATGGTATGATACACTGTGCAAAGAAGAGCATGCTTACATAAGTCCGTCTTGCCAGGTGACGACAGAATGACTAATTAGACGGCTCGTGAGTCGTGACTGCTGTGACGATACTATGACGATTTATGGTAAAGCTTACAAAATTATCGGTGCTCAGATAATTATTCAAGAATATCAAATTGGACCACCAGCTGATTTTGCATCGTTCTGATTCTTTGTAAACAATGGACTTCCACAGCGGACCGTCGCCAATGTACGGCAAAGCAAACACATAAACGGCTATCAAACTTGCGTAAACGGGAAATATCCTTTGAAAATATAAACTGTACGTTATTCTTTATTTTTACTCCCAATATCTATTTATAATTCAGAATCCGTCCCACTAAATCCCTTTAAAAAGGTGTGCTAAAACTAAACCACCGTAAAAAAACGGATACAACCGTTACCTTTCCTACCTTAACCATCTGTAGAACAGCATAATCACCAGACTAAAAGATTTCGTCCTCTCAATCTCCTTGATGACCACGTGGTAAGTGAGAAAGCCACTGATAACGAAAAAAGTCTCAACGATCAACGGTGAATCGAAATAACTGTACCATACCGTCTTGACAGCCTTGACAAAAATAAAGCACTTTTGTTTAAGGCAATTTAAACGCATCTTTTGGCCATTTCAGTTGGTTATTTTAAGGCAGCTTACTTTTACGTTGAACTCTGGATTGGAGATGGCGTTGGCCAGCAAAACTAGCATTCTGTGTCCAAGTATTACGTGGCACACGGAAATCACTTTGAGCCCGTTGATGATAGACAATTCGGGATCGCTGTTCTTCTTCAACAGCCGTTTCGCGTTTGCCGTCACCGAAAACGGTTTCAGCAAGTTTTCTGGAACAATGCGGTGTTTAATACAAAGTATAGTTATAATAGTCTATGCGTCTGAAGATGCCCATCCAGAAATACTCACTCAACATCCCTCTTTTGTGCGTTTCGTCATTACCCAACACGGCCACGTCGTACCAAGTTCCAATGGCGACCATTGCCAAATTTAGACCTATCGCAGAGCTAAACAGTTTGGAAATGATTATTATTAAACACACACGCGAGGATATCCTGAACGTACAAAAAAATGTAATGATACACGCCCATCGGTTCGGCATCTCCCCGCTTGGACGACATCAGTGGGTCCACGTCGACGGATATGTTTAGACCTGACACTTGCTTCAGTTGTTCTGTCAAAATAGACTTTAACCGTTCGGGTGAGCACGAATCAGGATGACATACGGCCCAATGAAACTCGTCTCTTGGCGTCTTACTTGGATCGGACGATGGCTGAACAAATAAAAATATATTAACCAACCCTGATATGGACCATTTAAGCCCAGAGAGGAATGTGTCTCACTTACTTTGGTACCAGCCCATACTTTTGTCTTGGGACTCGGTTCCCGGTAATCTACTATTCCCAGCGGCCTGTAGTTGGTGTACTTGGTCGGGACAAAGTTGATTTTTACAATAGTGTATTGACCCGATATACGAATGTCCGGCACGGATACGGACAAGCACTGGTCATAGTGACCCAACTGATAATTGTCGCCGGACAGAAGCCCTGATGGTCCTTTGGACGATGCGTCCAACACTTTGACAAACAAAAACCGACATTTAATGATAAATTGAAAATATAATTCACAATTATCAACACTTGAACAATACAGCAACATCAGAACAGCTGCCTAATGGGGTGAATGTCCTCACAACGCAAGTACTAAGGTTATGACTGCCAATTCACTATAGCTATTGTTTTACTACAACTCACCTAATTGCCTTAAAAGTTGTTGGATTATATTAATTTTATTTATGCGTTATAAATCTTATAGTATCTATATTATAGTATATTATAATCTATATTATATGTATAAAAAAAAAAGCTGTAGAAGATTTTTATATTATCGTGAGAGTCCTCGTATACGTCATGAGTCAGTAAACAACGGTTGTTACAATTTTCATAATTTAAAAGAAATGTTTTTTCTAATAGAAAATTGATATCGACTTTACTTGTATAGTCAAGTATGAAGCCAAAAATGCTGATTTTTGTCTAACACAGGCCATTTTGAAACCCATATTTTGTTATTTATGATTTTAAAGATGTTTTCAAAATTATTTTACAGTTGCATTATCAAGTTTCAAATTCTAAAATAATTATACTAAACATTATGACTTTATAAAGTTATTACCTAACCTAACCGATTGCATGTGGTCTGTTTTAAGGAGTTTTGTATAGGCAATATTTAAGCAAAAAAAAGTTTTAATAAATTTTGACCATGCCAATTAATTAACCGGTTAATTTTGTATAAGCTCCAAGTTATTATTTTTAATTTAAATTGTTTCGCATAAAAAAATTAAAAATCTGTGTCTTACATAGTTTTACATAGTCTTCCTAGTCAAGTTGCCAAAGAACTCATCTTTACAGAATTGAAATCGGACCATCCTAAGTAGTCTAAATTTTGTCTGGCTTTTTGGTCTAAAATGACAAAAAACTGACCTTACATACATCGCCTTACATACATTCTTAATCTATAATATGTATAAGTACAATATAATTAAGTTTGATGTTATTAATATTAGCACTTTTTAAATATGCAACCATAAAGACAATCATTTTAACATCATTTTAAAAACTTTAACCTATTTTTCTCTATTACACTGTTATAGGTAGGTACGTGATAAGGTTTAACTATATAAGAAGGTATTTATAGTTATAATATATTTAAGTAATTTCAAACAAAGGTTTTGAGTACAAAAAAATAATTAATCTTTATGTTCGATTTTTAACGAGTTGTTAGGAAAAAACGATTTTTAAATACCGGCTACGAATATTGTCACACGTTTATGTTAAGAAAAAAAACATTAAATGCAAATCTTGTGTACTCAATTAAGTAAACAATTTTTGGCCACGTATTGTTTTCGTCTAAAAATTTGCTAAGTACAAATGATAAAAGTGTTGCAGATAATTAAATTAAATTTGATTTTAGTAGGGGAATACACTGTATAATATATTACACCGTTTATTGCATTTCTTCGTTATTCACAAGTCGCACTTACTTGACTCGTAAAATAACTTGCCGTAACGTTTCGGTGTTAATATAAAATTATATAATTTTTTTCCTATCAGCTGCAGCGATTTTTATTAAGGATGACATTCAAAGGAAGTTTTATCAAAATTATAGTTTTGTCGTTTTTCGTTTTGGCAATAACTACAGGTAATAATATATCATTATATCATTATATATTTTTACAAATATATTATTTAAATAATGTAATAAAAACCGTATTTTAAAATATTCATAATGTTTAGCCTAAAGCATATTTACTATATTATAATATTGATGGTTATTGTAGTAGAAAACTACATATGACTTGAATAGTTTAAGTCTCTGATGGCAAACTAAGTGACTTAATTTAAACGAGTCATAATGTATATTTATTTAATTCTGACGTTGAAGTTCTTTCTTAATTAAAACTTAATGGTGACGATCTTATTAAAGGTTTCTTAAGTCCGTGACTTAGGTTTTTTTTTATTATCGGAAGATTTTATTTTTTCTGAACATGCCAATAAAATTTGTTGTAAAGTAATCAGAAACGTGAGATTAAAAAATATATATATTTAGCTTCTATTATTACTGTAGGATTTACATTTTTTTATTATTATTATTCTTATTTGTTTTTGTATATTAGTCATAAACGGAAAACCCGGAGGTGAGTTTTACTATTACATTTAACACTACGAGTTAGTAATCAACTTTCCTATATAAATAGACCTAAATTAATTATTAAATATTTGATGTATCTCTCCTTGAAATCCTCAAAAATATAATAAATAATTTATTTAATTATTACATTATTAATTAATAAAACAATCACATATGAGAGACAATATAACATTGTTATATTTAATGATGTTTGATGAAAAATAAAATATTTATATAGATTTGAGGCTATTTAGATGATTTTAAGTCGAGCCTTATAGAGATTGAATATTTTTGGGCAAAACATTTTATAAAATAGTCGAAAAATGTCTTTAAAATTGTTTAATTCCACTAAATTCGAATAGCTATTTAAATATTGTCAAAGTTAGGTTAACCACCAACCTTTGGTATGTTTCCGTTTAAAAAATAATAAATAATAATATTTACATAATATTTTTTATTATTTTAATAATAATAATTTTATTTTAATCATTTTTCGAATTAATACAATATAATGCCATGTATTTATAAGTAAAATAAAAATTATGTTGGACTATAATAAACCTTATATTAATTTTGTTATTTACTAGTAACCGAAGAGACGACTACAAGTATGTACACGTTTAAATAAATTAATAAATATCTAATAATGTATGTACATACAATTAAGACATACATACAAAAAATAACAGTTTCTATACAATTACAGTAATAGGATGCTCGAAAAATGTCAACGATAATGTTAAAGACTATGCTCAATTTACATATATTATTATATTGTTCAAACCTTTATATTTTGACTAATAATTTTCATTATCATACCTGTGATGTATACCCAATGTTGTTTATTTGGTTTAAATGTATATTTATTTTATTGTATTGGTCCCTTTGGTTTATTTTAACTTTATTTATTTTCAGTGACCCCACCAGCATTTGTCGGTATGTTTAAGTTTACAAAATAATAAAAAACCATTTACATAAATTTGTATTATTTTTTTAATAATAAATTTAATTTTACAGTTTTTCCATTAACTTACACTGCAGTGTGGCTATGTATAGCACTAACTTAATTTGAACTATAATAACTTTATGTTTACTGTATCCAAAATGTAATAAATTAATTATTATTATTTTATTCGTTTCTAGAAATGGAACGTGTCGGTATATAAACGTTGACGTAGATAAGTAAATAACAATAAGAATTCTAACCACTGATTAAATGATTACTCACATATTAATGAAAACACATCTTAAAAGCAGACATATACTCAAATGCCTTCAAGTAATCCTTTAAATAATGCAATTCCTGCACCAGCTTCGGACATAAATAAAGTCATGTCATCCTTCAATGAGGACCATAAGTCTCTAATCAATCCCCTCATTTGTCTCCTAACTAAAGTAATTTCCAGTTTATTAGACAAGAAAAATTACTATTCATCCCTTTATTAACTACTCACTACTAATTCTTCAATTCAATGCTAATGGTTTACAAAATCATATTAAGGAACTCCATACCGTACTAAATTCAAAATAAACTTTAAAAAATGCTTTCTCATTAAATTGTAAATATTGTCCTAGAAAATAAATATTATATACATATAATTTACTCACGGCTAAAGAAAATAAAGTTCCAGGAGAGGAAATGGAATATGTGGAAGTAACCGTAGAACTGGATGAAGGGACAGAAGTAAATCAAGGGACAGACTTAACAAAACGCACCCTTGTGTTCAACGGTGTGGGAAATCCAGAAGGTGTAATTGGAAATACAGATATGGACATTATATGGTATAGATTAGATGAACTGTACGTCAACGGCACAGCATTTCCAGTAATTAATGGAAACAAGGGAATAACAATCAAGTACCATGAAGAAGGAGGAATCACAGTGAATGGTCAAAAAATAGATGGATTCGAAACTATAAAAGGAAGGGGAAAAACTCATTTGAAATTGAAAAGTAATTAATGGCAAAATACTATTATTTAAAAATTTAAGAGTTCATCAATAAAAAAAATATATTTTACAAAATATTTCTCTGTAGGTACATTGTTGGATTAGTTAAATAAATAACCATATCATAACTGTATTTACAGCGCTCTGGAATACAGAGCGCTGTAGGTCAAATACTTCACAACCTACAGCCGTTTTAAACACCTTGTACTTTATTTTTATACGTAGACAAGTTAATAATAATTTAGGTGAACTTTGCATTTTTGATAATATTATAATACTGTGTCCAAAATCTAATCAATTTAATATTATTTTCTAGAAATGAAAACTGTCGGTATGTTACGTTACTGTGTCTGGTACCTATTTAATTCATTGATTGTTATAAATGTACTATTTTCCAACCCGTGGAAATAGTATGTATACGTTTAAGTAGATAAATAAATAATAATTTTGTCGAATATTACATAAATGTTATTAAATAAGTTATTGACTGGGTCATAAGAAATCGACCGGTATAAATAATAAAAATGATTTTAAATTTTGATATTTTTTTATGATATTGTATACCTAAATATGTTCATCAGTTATTAAAAAAAATTTTTTTTTTTATTTCAGCTCTAGAAAGTTGTGAGTATACTAAAATTATTATACTTTTATCTAACTTAATCATTTGTTATAAACAAATATTTTTAAAAAAAACATTTATTTTAATTTCAGGTAACATTCGTGGAAAGTCGTCAGAAAAGAAGCCAGCTGATGTGAGTAATTACTATAATTCTTGTATAGTTAATACTTTTTTTTGTGTTATAATTTCATACTTTTTAACTAGGTACAGTTAGCGGGTCCATAATTCATCTACACTCAATTTAAAAAATAATACATATTGTACCTAATTATGACTATTTTATTAACACCTTACATGTTAAGAGTTATAATTATCTTTTATGTGTTACACGAATTATTTATGTTTAAAAAATATATTATAAATTAATTGTTTATAATCAAGTTTTAACACTTTTTACGTATAATACATTTCCATTAAAACGTATTTACATAGTATAACAACATTTTCTTTGATATAATGTTTGATGGCATAACATAATGTATTCATAGTTCATACATAATATATTCATTTAATTATGATTGACTTTTTGATTCCTATTAAAGTAAACCGGCCAAAAATCACACATTGCTCCCTGACTAAAACAATTAAAATCTATTTGTTCCAGAAAAGTTTCTGTAAGAATAAATCTGTAATAAAAAATGTGCATTATAGTTTAAACTTCTTTTTTTTATAATTATAATAACTATTCGATTTACAAAATATACTTAATTTTGCTAATGGGAATGTATATTGTATACCTAAATTGTCTGCCTTCGCCCCTCTTCCCATAATTTCTGAACTTAATTATAATCACTGTATTATTATTGTATACGAATATTGATCAATCTTACTCTTCACTGCCCAAAGCGTCAGGTTGGCCACGTTTTCTCTGTATGTCTGCAAGTCTTTTGTGCACTGATCCGATTGGCCGCTGGGCGTCAAGTCGAACAGGGTGTCGATCAACAACCTTCCTACCCATAACGTGCTGGAATTGTGTCGTTGGCCGTCGGCCACGGTCCAAGCTGTACACGCGACCAGAACGCCGGTAAAGTACTGCAGTAAGTCCGTTTGCATAGTATACGGACTGTGCCAATAATATCTTGAAAATGAACTGGTGATACTTACTCGCCTATACGAAACAACGGTGCAAGTCGCGTATTGGACTTGTTCTACGGCAACAATGTAAACTGCGTTAATTGTCGTCCAACAATAACTAGTCCATCTGGTCTGATCCTTGACACGAATGATCATAGCAATAGAATACAGTATTGCAATACCAATGATCTCTTGAACATTGCAAAGTGATGGTCACGATTATCTAGGTACATGAATCGTATGGAATTCCGTTGGTGTAATTAAAAACAAAACAAAATAGTTTTTAGATAACTCAAAAATACTTATAATAATGAACTTGATTTTATATCCACGCCCCTATTGGTGTTATGTAACATAATAATATCATCTAATTTATTATAAAATGCTTTTTCATGTAAAAAGAAATAAAATTAATTTATAAACGATAATGACCTATTGATTTAGATTTTTACAATAACAAGTCAATATAAATCATGGCCTACAGACGTATGTATATTTTTTAATTTTCAAAACAATCGTCTGTATGAATATTATGGATTTAGCATTATTTTTAATTTTGTTTTTGAGTATCGTGTTCTGTAAAATTACAATAAAAAAAATATAATAACAGCCGTTCAAAACCTAATCACGCCGTTGTCATACCGTCCGGCCTGTATTGGTATCGTGTCTCTTTATGGTAAAAAATCTGCTTTTTTTTGCTCTCACTATACATAATATATATTATTATTATTATGTTAGCACTTGTAACGCTGTCCGACCGCACGTCGCAGTATCTGTGGACTGCGTGTGTAATTATATTTATCGCTAATAAAATCATAATAGATCCTAGATTTTTTTTTTATAAATATCTTTGTGTGTACTAAGTATGATTTTGATACTGTATACTGTATGTGGAAAAAAACGAACTATTGTAAAACCTACTCACCATTAAAAATATTCGATATGGCGGCGGTTCAAAGTACTCGTGCCCCGAAGATTATTTGATCGCTCATTAACCTTGAACGATCCACGACAATAGGACCTAGCGATGACGGGACGTTTTGCACGCTTTGTCGCTTATACGCTTTCAGAAAAGGATATATATACACCCCAGACCGCCTGCGACGGACGATCAATTGCAGTCCGACAGCCGAACATGCACGTGTCAGCGGTGATCACGGCAGCCGTGGCTTTGGCGCAGGCGTGCATGGCCATCACGAGTGCTCCGCCGGTGTCCATCGCCGGCGTGTCAATCCGGATGAGCCTGCCCGACGGACCGGGCCTGTCGGGCGTATGCCTGTTCAGGGACGGGAAGCACGTCATGTTCAAATCGATAGCATCCACGCGCAAGCATCACGACTACGGCGGCGATTACCTGGTGGCCGGCGACCTGGACGCCGACCGGGTGTACGAGGGCACGTTCACACGGCTCCTGGACGGCGACCAGGTGGCCAGGTTCGGGTGCAAGGACGGCGACCGGTTCGAAGTGGCTACGCCGTTCGTGGTACCAGAACACGATCTGGACACCATGTTGGCCGTCAAGGAGTCGATGGAGCAGAAGCTCGGGGCGTACAAGGTGAACCGCGTGGCCACCGAGCACGTGTCCGTCGCCTTGCGGTTGCCGATGAACGACAGACAGGACGCGGCAGTCACCGCCGACGTGTTTCAGCTGTACAAGAAACCGGGACCGCACGATTCGAAAATGGGATATTCGGCGTTCCCGTTTGCCCGGTACGTGCTCCGGTTCCCGGTGGACAAGCTAATGCTGGCCGACCTGCCGCCCGACCAGATGATCGCCGTCAAGCTGCGCACGGCCAGCGTGGCGAGCAATTTCACCGACAAATCACTGTTCCTGTTCACCGGAGGCTTATACCCTCGGGGCGCCGCCAACCTCACCCGGATGTTGGACACCGTCGCAGTCGTCCCTGCCGGTATCGCTCAATCCAAACAGTCTCAACTAGATGCTTCTGGTGAGTTACGCGAGCCTATATACATTATGTGTTCATAAATACATAATATAAAATGTCACGGAAATGCCTCACCACATGTAAAGTGTAGGTAATTTTTCGATAAATTTGGGCATGAAGCTAAACACACTTTAACACTCGTATCAATATTACCTGCCGTTGTAAGGGTGAAGTCCATAGTGATATTTTATTTATTTATTTATTTTTGCAACTCTTACAACGCATTTCTTTAGCTAACTTTGTAAAAATCATGTCTAAGTATTTTTTTATAGATGCATTTTTCTAAACAACTGAGTGCGGTTTTGACGAAAATTTTTAATTAAGACTTACTCATACGACGTCAGCGATATTTCATAAAACGTGTTTGGCCCAAGTTATAAACCTTTGAAAAATTGCGAAATTTCTATGTCAGTTTCTGACAATTTTATCGAAATTCACCAACATCAAAATTTACATAAAGTCTCGACATTTAATTTTATAGGGATGAACTTAAGCGCTAGAACTGGTTGTTCAGAAAAGTGCATTTCGTGAGATATTCTTCGAACAAATGTTTGTTTAAAATCTATTTTTAGTATATATACTAGTATGTATTAGCATATGGCAATATCTATTTTAGTGTGTTTTGTCTTATATTCTTATACTGAATGTCACTAAAAAAACACTTTGACATAAATGTACAGGTCGATCAATTTAACGTAAGACATTAATTTAACAACAAAAAAAATTTTGTTTAGGTATATTTCTACATTTCATAAAATGTGTACACATTAACCTTTTAAATTTTAAAATGATCTATTGGTAATTTAGAAATTTTTTAATATTGTATAACAACAAACAAAAGTTCGAAAATAAAAATAACAAAATTACTATTATTTTCTAAGAAATAACGTGTCTCACGTTATCTTATATTGTGTTTATAATCGAATATTGAGTTTTTTCTTGGTAAAAAAAAATGTTAACAAGAGATTTTTGAAATAATTTTATGCTATCATTAATAGGATCACCTTTGTTTAGTCTAATATTCAGGTCCTAAATCCTTAACTACACCTAAAAAACCGAAACAAAACAACATATTCTACTCGTTCTTGGGTAAAGGGTTAATAGTATTTTCTTGGTTTGTCACTATACATTATTAGATGCCAAGACCGTATTTGGGGGAGGGGGGGGGGTACAAAACGAATGCGTAGTTTTTGATTAATAAGTTGTATTAGCTAATTATATAGGCGTTCACGACGAACTATTAAATAAACGATTGTTATCTGCAGGAAGCAATTAATATCATTCCTTTCATAGTGCCATTGAACTTGTAAACATGCGAAGGAGTTAATGTTAATCTGCATGACTTTTCAGTTTTTGCGGGACATGATAAATCACAAATTATACAATGGGCGTAATATAGTTTTGACATTTGTATTAGATCATAATACAATTATTGTACTTAACAATTTAAATTAATTTACCCTTTCTCATAGAAAACTATTCAAAACACATTAATTTGTATACAATCGAGTAAGGTTACCTGTAGATATTTTACTTCTACTAATCGACTAGTAAAAATGTTTAGTACCTTATTATTATTATTCACTAGTGGAATATTATTCACTAAAAAAAATAATGAAATACATTTAGGTACCTAGATTACCACATTCTTTCAAAAAATTCAAAAATGTGTTGTCATAGTATTTTCATACTGAAGAATACTCAAAATCAAATGAAGCTATTATATTCCTATTACATTTATTTTCTAGAAAATGATTTATATTTTTTAGTTCTTAGTTCTTACCATCTATAGTTTCATCTAAGCGTTTATTTGAATACGACTTTATCACTTTCAGTTATTATATTTAGATGTAAATTCTCTTATTTGATTGCAAGACTAAATAAACTATCATACAGAGTTCTATTTGTATTGTATATACATATTTTAGAACCTAAAATGTATGAAGATTGAGTAATTGGGTAATAAACCATTGAAAATAACTCAATGACAAATAAATAAATTATTTGTTTTTTGCCAATAATTGTAATAAAACCTATTTAAAAATAAAAGAACGAATTAAATCATAAATGAGTCAATAATTTTATGTAACATGCGTAATATAATATTTCTAAATCAACGATAAATTTTTAACAAATATTTGAAAAGTATACAATTGTCACAATATTATCCTTAGCTGTATCATAGCAGTTAAACTTTATATCTATAATTTAAATATTAAAAAAGCAAAATCGTAAATTCTCGTTCAGTCGTAGAGTTTTAATTTGAAAAAAAAGATTACGTTTAATCTATAATATAAAAACAAAAATACTTCATAGTTATGTTTCAACATTATGTTAAAAAATTGTTAACAGATATTCTCAAAAACACAGTAAAATGTCATGCGGATGGCATGGTATACAATGGATATCCATGTCGCAATTCGGACGTATGCATACCTTTGGGGTGGCTGTGCGATAATCAAAAAGATTGTGTAGAAGGCGAAGACGAGTACAACTGTTTCAATGGAAATACTGAGGAAAATGGCAATACAAACTTGTACAACAATGTCGATAATTGGTATTACAATCGTGGCACGTGTAGAAAGTACGAATTTCGATGTCGCTCTCGAAGAATGTCGGTTTGTTTGCCAAACTCGTGGCTGTGCGACGGGCGGGTCGATTGCGACGACGGGTAAACACTGTTGTTGATTTAAGGTGTGTAATTTAAAATATTAGACATTTTTTTTAATTTTATAGTTGGGACGAAAATGAGTTTAACTGTGGTCGCACATACAACGTACTGAGGCCGGGCATTGGAGGAGACATAAGCCATAGAGAGGACATCTTATGTAAAAACAGAAACTCCTTCAAATGCTGGCAGGGCACGGGGTGTGTAGATCTCCGATCTGTCTGTGACGGTACTAAGGACTGTGCCGATGGTTCAGACGAACGCGTATGCGACAACTGGAATTCAAACTGTGATCAATTAACAGAATTTAGAGTAAGAGAAAATAATACTCAAAAATGGTTGTTTTATTTATTATTTTTTTCAAAACATAAAAATAATATAATTGTATGTATATATATTATCTAGTGCTTGAACCACTATAACACGTTTAGTAAACGAAACTGTATACCTCGGCAATGGGTATGTGATCTGCAGGACGATTGTCCACACGGAGAAGATGAATCGGTCACCAGTTGTTTAAGCATGGATCACCCGACATTTAATGGTCTAGAAACTGATATTGTAGATTTTTAAATAAAAAAAGTTTTTTTTTTCAACTAAAATATAAAATATAGTCTAAAGCAATTTACAGCGCTAATTATTTTATACAGTATTAAAAGTAACCTTATCGTCTGGTTTGCTTTCTAACGAAAACGGAGGTATTCGACAATCAAACAAATGTCCATCCTCTCGTTCCATTCGAAATGTCCCCCTATAAATATGAATTCAACATGTTAATATTTATACAGGGACACATGGTGTTCGGACTATTAATGTCGCACTACAGTCTATGAGAGTTGCTAAAAATACATTTTTATTTTTCCTCTCTTTTCCGTTTCAAAATGTTGGTTTTACGATTTTTATTGCAAGATGATGATGATAATGATGTAAACAAAAATAAAAATTACTCCTGCTATTTCTTGCAAAAATCTCATACAAAATGATAAGTCATAACTTAATGAGGAATAGTTGATTTTTTTGTCAAACATTTGTTTTCTTAAACAAAATTCTATTAGGAAAAAATAAATGTTAAATAATGTTTTTTTTCTTTTTAGTAAATATAAAAAGTAATATTATTATTTATACAAAAAAAATACATTATACTTTTTTTAGAAAAATTAAAATTTTAAAATAATATATCAATTTGTAAGAGCATTTTGTAGAAAATAAAATGGAATAATTTAATGTATGATAAAAATCAGAGAATTTGAATTGTGGGACATTGAATTTCTGAACACCCTGTGAGAATTATCAAATTTGTTCATAACAAAACTGTTTTTAAAACTAACCACATATGTCCACTGGGAGCTTGGAGGCTCACATGACTGCTGTATTGAAATGCTGGTGATTTCTTAGACAAGACAGGTTCTTGTCCTACAACTCCTCTTCCTCGAACCGTCTCCAATGTTCCGGATAAACTAAAAATTCGCCAATGGCGTTCCCTCAGTTGTACACTTTGTTCGCCCAAATTTTCCAAGCGAATACAATATCTCCACTAAAAACAAAAAAAACAAACAATACCAAAGAGTATAACTGCTTAATTCCAAAAATTATTTACTTACCCAGTATACGGAATTTGTTTGAGATTCTCTATAGCCCATGTAAAAAGGAATAACTGTCACTCTAATATTTTCTGTGGTTTCTTTGTGAACGTCGGATAATTCTAGCCAAGGATGGTTTTTCTTTTGCCAAGAACGCAATGTTTCTTGTGCGCCAAACGGTGGTTCTACAAAATGTCAATATACCACACAAAGTAATTACATAATTTTAATGAATAAAAATCTTAAGTAGGTAACTCAATCGTTAATATTTACGAGACAAATCTTATACAATAAGAACTACTAGATACAACAAGTCTAACCTTTTTTAGGATAATACATAAGAAACTTATCGAACAACTCATGCTGCAAAGGCTGTTTCTCTGTAGCAGTGTAAGGAAGTATATCTTCTTGAGCTACATAATCTAGACCTGGAATCGCGTACAAACTACGACTCGTATCTTGATTACCAAGAAAAGTTACAGCTTCTGTCTGAGCTCTCTAAAAAAAAAATATATATATTTATATATATGAATCAATAACAAATAAAAGCACAAATAAGTGTTTCACTCACAATAAACGGACAGTCCCTTTCATCAATTAAGGTTTGGTAAAATGTATGTGTTTTTCCTTTGACGTCTTTGCCAACAGCACTAAGATGATAAATATTTAATAAATTATATTAAAATAAATAAACTAATAAGGTGAAATATTAGTTTTAAACTAAATGGAATTTTATATAATTTCATGGAAACAAGAAATGGAACGTTCTGTCAATAAAAATTCACTTTTTCATAAAATTACAATAGATTTCTGGTGATTGTTTATTCTGCCCTTGGTTTTTATACTATGTTTACATGCGTAGTTTACACTAAAAAAGCTCATTCTGAGTCAGTCAACTCTTAGAGTTAAAAGCATGCAAACATTCTTTAAATAGTATTAGTTCAGATTTATTTATTTCTGATAAATTAGTTCTCATTTCATACATAAAAAAGTGTGAAATCGTTTATTATTATATTAAGTTAATCAAGTATTTAAGTATATTTTATAATATCAAGTAAACATAAATACCTTTCTGATTTATTAACTATATCACGATCGTATACCCTCGCCAGCCACGGGAACAAGATTACGCCACGATATCCGAAAATACGATGAAAAAATAACTGACCAGTCTCATATTTTTCAATCGTTTTCGGTACATTTAATTGGCCAACTTCTAACAATCTGTTTGACAAAAACAAATCAAATAAAGTAGGACTCAAATCGAATATTAACTAAGTTTATAATTATACCTGACGTAGTGTCGTTTAAAAATACAAAAACAACCACTTCGATTTAGTTTTTCAAACATATTTGAACGTTTTAAATTCAAAAATTGGTATCGACGATTAATCAAATTTCATAATATCTGAAACCTACTAAATACTACAGCTCACAACGGAAAACAACAAAAGAATGACATCAAGGTACAAATTCATTAAAAAAAATGCTTAATATTTTTTGATATTAAATTCCTAGTCAAATTTTCTACTGATAACAACAATCAAGATGATAACAGACAATCTTTGTAAGGGAACGATAAGGAAATCGTCTGATCACTTTTTGGGAACACCCTAGTAAGTAGTAAAATTTACTATTTAGTATTTTTTATGAATTGAGTTGCATAGTAATAGAAATAAAAATTTGGAAGAACATTTTAGAATTAAAATTTACCAACGTTAAAACATATCTGCGCAGAATGCGTTCTACTCGCTTCATGATAATTCTACAGCAAAAATATCTATAATAAAAACGAAGGGTAACAAGATTTTGGAGACAATGTCATATCTTTGTTTTGATTAACCTAATATTTGGCTTAATATTTAACATTTAAAAAAATGTTCAAGTCATATTCAAAATCGGATACGACTTAGTCTCCAACACATCTTTCTATTTCATAATAGGTGTTTTTGCTCTAAAACAACCATGGACTGCATTCTGCGATTTTAGGTTTAGATGAAAAAAAATATGAAAATTGCTGACAGATGCTGTGATAGTCCGAAAAAATAAATTAACTACCAAAGGTTGTAACAATTAAACAATAACTACACAATATAGTTTAAGCTTTACTAAAAACCCGCCAAGAGAAATTTCGTATTTTAATATCAAAAACATTGCCTTAAGTTAGATTCTTATCTTTATTGCAAATTGTAGTTAGATCTTAATCAATTCTCACAAATTATTTATATTACTATACAAATAAAACATTATTTTTACTTTTTACCTAAATTAGTTGACTATTTTAGAATTCGGCTGTCAAGTATAAATTAGCTTTACCACATCTTACATATTTACATAATATGTATTCTATAGTTAAAGAATACAGGTAGGAGCTTATAAGCTTTGTCTTCAATCTCGTCATTTAGAAGAAAACAGTGACCACACTTCATCGAGCTTCAATCTTAAGAACCATGATATGCAAGATGCAGGTGCATGCGTTTGAAATTTGGCAATTTAATTTCATAATTATTTTGTTTTTGTTTGTTAGGCGACACTGGAAAACCGTTTTTACAGGCGGCTAGCTGCCGTCCAGTTTGATGCATGTTACATAGCAAGCAATGCGGAAAAGTTCAATGAAGAGAGCAGTGATATTGTGAAGAATGCTCGCATTATTACAGAGATATGATCAAGTATGTTATTATAAAGTTCTTAGCCTAATAAAATTAAATTATCTATCCATGAGATTATGTTTTCAGAACTCCTACGGCTGTCGAAGTGCCTGCATTATGCCGTCAGTTGCAGCAAAATTACAAAAATAGCGAAGAAGAAAACAAGAAAAATGGTAACACTAATTACAATCGACCCAGAAAATTAAGGCCTCGGTCGTTGAGAGAGAGGAGCAGACGTGAATGCAATCAACTATTCGACTGGAAAGCAGAATGTAAAAAGTTTTTACAAATTATGTGGATGTCTAAAGATAGCACGCCTTTCAGGTAAAACAATTTCCACCATTTGCTGAATTTTGTATATTTCTAAATTTGGTTCACAGTCAAATATATTAAAAAATAATTTCTTACATTTACTTAGTACTATAATTATTAATAATTAATATAAATATTGATAATATTATGTAAAAATAAGATCAAAAATAGATGAATATTTAGTTTTAGTTAGTTAACGGGTGGGCCCAGAATGGGCCCATGCACTCAGACCTACAGGTCCATTGTGCACACCCTCTCACCGAAGTCCTGTTTCACATAGTTTGTCATGCCCATGTCCTGCTTAGTTAATAACCTTCTAAGTTGAATAGTCCTGATTCCTTTATAAATCTCAGTAACTCTTTAATCCCAGTATCCTTGATTTCATCCTGTCCAGGAAAATGTCTACCAAAGATACTTTGCCTTAGGGTAGCAAGGGAGTTACATTCACACATGATGTGGTATGACGTCTCCTCCTCTTCTCCACATTTCCTACACACTGGTGATTCTGTGATCCCCATGGTGTGTAGATGTTTGAGCAGATGCCCGTGGCCTGTTAATAGTCCAACTAGCATGCTCATTTGGTTCCTGTTCATATGTTTAAGATCCTTTAGTAACGTACCAGGAAGCTTGATGAACATCTTTGATTGCCTAGGTACTACTAGGTATCTCAATATTTTCCTATGTTCTTCCCTACTCCAGTTTTTCGGTATTGCTCTCAGTGTTTGCTCTGATAATCCTACCGCTGGTTCGGGACCATAGATGAATATTACTTTAGCCATTGATTTTTTATCTATTTAATATTATACATAATAGTATTATTGTAAATCAACCAGCTGTTCGTAGTTTTTTGATGAGATGAATTATTGTAGAGAACCAGTGGATTACACCAAGTATCCAAATTACGGATGGGTAGTGAACACACCTATAGATTTTACTTCGATCTGGGAGGACCTGCGTGGTGACAATTACAACAGCCCTGTAGAGTTTTGTGAAGATGTTAGGAGAGTGTTTGAAAACTCTCGGTTATACACTGAAGTGCATCCTGATCAAACAGTATATTGTTGTTTTATTGAACATAACAAATTTATTAATATGATTGACGACGGTTTTATCAATTGTGTAAAGGTGGAGAGCATGAGACAAAATATGATCGACATGGTTGAACTGAATATAACCAAAATACTCAACGACTGGAATACAATGTCAAAATGTTCCAAAACTTCATTTGAGATCATATACTCATTCTTCTTTGCGTTTTCAACAATGTTAATATAATTTTTGTTTTGTGTTTTTTCAACAGCGTTGGCCAATCATTTGAGTTCACAACCGCAGCGGAGGTGTAGGCTAAAAAGGAGGAGGACCTATGATAACAGTCCTAGTGAAGACAACAGCGATGATGATTTTAATAATCAGTTACCCAAACGACTGCGGCAAACTGAAACCCCAACTCTTCTTCGTCAGTACTCATCAAGGACTTGCAAGTCCATATACCGATGCAACGACAGCAGTGACAGCGACGATGTAATGCCGACCAGACCTTCACGTAGTAGGCGGCTACCCATGAAAAAAGAAATATTTGAAATACCTCCTATAACCAGCAAACGGCAAACAACTAGGTTCCACGACGAAAACTATAATGACAAACAACTACAACCACAAGCGTCTTCCTCCCGGGGTGCAGTCAAGCCAGCTCATTCAAGATTTATGAACCTGAGAACCAAACAAAAAAGGGATTATGCAGAGCGTAGTGAAAAGAGTTCAGGTGACAGTACTAATGACGAAGAAGAGAATATAAGGGTGTCAGTAAGTAGCAGAGGTAGGATAAGAAAACTAACAGCGGATGCCAAAGCCATGTATAGGAGGTAGTGTTGTTTTCAATTACGACCCATCTCTAAATTATTGTCACCTTTTTTTTTTAATAACTATTATTTATTATTTTACTATTTACAACATTAATTTTATTTAAAATTACAATAATTGATCGTTTAAGTTGAATGCTTATATAACTTAGTATATTAATAATTTTTTTAAAAGTTTTTTGAAATGATAATCAACATGGATACTTTTTCATTATTAAATGTTCAATTAAGATATTATTTTAAATTCTTAATAATTCTAATTAGTAATATTGTACTTCTATTATAGATGAGTACTATTTTTGTTAATGTTCTATACCTAATTCCTTAATAAATAGAGTATCACATTCTCTTAAGGTACATTGGCACAACGTTTGCTTTCAATTATTGTTATAAAAGGCGACCAATAACATTGTCCCATTAAAAGTATACAGCCACCTAAAATGCTATATCAGCCATTTTGCAATTATTGCACGTTGCTGATTTACATAGACCTATAAAGGTTCTTTGTAAACCATATGGAGTAGTCCTGTTAATTTTTGTCATGTTCAAAAGTTTCCATTTCCCATGAATTTGAACTTTGAATCATGATTATAAATAATATTGTGGTTTAAATTTTGCTCATCAGCAAAATTTAGTTTTAGGCAATATATTTAAGAATTCCATATAATTTCCTACTTGTGAAAAGTATTATATTCTTATTTTTATATAGCTAGGTAATTATAAAAAAAAAACTTATTTAGATGTTTTATAAGTAGTAAATATTAAAAAAGAATATTCAAATTGTAATTGGCTCGTATTATCATACCATACTCTGTCTTACTGTTAATCAAATAAACAAAAACTAAAATAGTGACCGTTTGCTGCTGTTTAATATTTTCCTTTAATCCATTAACCCAGTGGGAAAAAAAAAGGACAAATACAACAATGTAATATGAAAAATAGTTATTTAAACTTAGTATTAAAGTTAAGAGCTAGATAAAAAAAATAGGGGAATTTGTTTAACAATCTATTCTATATTTATTTGCAAAATATATGAACGTTTGATCGCAACTATACTAGATGAAAATCTTCACTTTGACGCTCATTTTTATAATAAAAAAAAAGTATAATAAATAATTTAAAAACTTAAAATAGTTCACTTTTAGTTTTAAAAATAAATTAACGAGGAACTTTAAAAATCAGCTAAAACTGATACAAACATATAGTAAAATAAAGTCAGTCTTCTTTTAGATCATGTCGTTTAATATGAAGTACGGACATGGTTTCATATATACAGCAACAACCACAGTTGGCAGCACAGGTAGTTTCTGTATTAAACCATTCAACTAAATGATTAGCGTGACCACCGTGTCCGCAAACTAGACAAACATGAGCTGCACCTCTTACTGTAGAGTTGCATATGGAACATTTCAAATTGAATCGTTGACATCGAGAACAGTATCCGTCTATTACACTACTTTTACATTTTATGCACTCCACAAAAAATTTAAACAAAACTGTATTGCTTTTTTGAGTTTGGTGCTTTAGGAATTTTTTCACACTGGCTTGTTGGTCTAATAGTCCCAAATTGTCCAAAACATCCATGTATGTCTTTTTGTATTCGTCATAATAAATTTCTTTGTTTGAACAATTGTCATTGAAAACTAGTCCGTGATCACCGACTTCATAACATTCAGCTGACTCTTCTTGTCCTCTCGAGAAACTGAAACCGTCCGATAAACTATTTGACCTAGTGTATACTGGAGTAGGCGATCTCTCGTGCTCAACATTTTTGAACACGGCATTTGGATCGAACACACAACATAACAAAGCTGCAGTTTGGTAATCCGAATGTCCGGCGTAATGAGAAATAAGAGAATCAATTAAATTCATAGTAAAAGGATGATTTTTCCAATGGCTTACTTGATCACTTTGTGACGTGGACTTTTTCTTTAAGTTTAAATTTGTATTACACGCATATGCTGCCAAAGTCCACGTTTGGACCAAATCTTTCCGTTTAAAACTATTTGTGATTGAAGCATTTTTTAAACAAGTATTAAAAACATCCATCGTGTTAAGCTCGTATTTTGAAGCTAAATCTTTACTGATTGGAAATAAACACGATACATCATAAACTGCAACTATAGGTCTATCAAATTTACGGTCTTTTCGATTGCTTTTTAAAGACCGATTGTTGTTGTCGACAGACGATGTTTTACCATTGAACCAGTATGATTGAACTGTCTGTTGGGGAGAATGATACTGTATGGAGTTATTGCCAGTGTCAATTTTCTGCAATGATATCGAAGGAAAATAATCCGATTTCGTACTTGGACTGTTGAACCACAATAACGCACCATTATTGCAAAATTTTAATCCCATTGTTTTACTTTGCAATATGTTATATGATTCTTGGTACGACGCGTAAGTACTGGTGCGATCAAAATGAGATGGCGACTGCGAGTATATCGAATATGTTTTTTTGTCATCATCAACGAATTGGTTTTCAGAAAAAGATATCCTAGACTTTTTTAAAGTATTAACTAATTCACGAAAACAATATTGTATACAGGTCATGTTTTTCGAGACTTGTTTATGAGCGGAATCATAAAGCACTTTAAGAATTTTGTTTTTTATATTTGAATCGTAAGTGCATTTGGTGATCTGAAAATGAGGTTCGACATTAATCGGGTAACCCAATGGAAACGATATGAATACAGATACCGAATTATTATTTAATTTTACTGTCGCAATCAGCACACGTCGATCAGGATCTTTTTGTTCAATAAATACTTCCGAACAAATATTCATTGAAAGAAACTCTTGCTGTAGATTAGAAACATTTTTCTGATCAAAGTCATCACTGTCAAACGATTCATTGTGCGAAGACATACTAAATGTACTTTCTCGGACTTCATGATCCACAACATCAAACCCGTTGAACGTGTCATTGGCAATGTTACTTGTCTCTGAAAAATGCATATTTCGGTAAATATCTAAATCATTAGTACTCGATCTATCATTATTTTCTACTGGGACATCATGGAGAAACGGTGTAACATGCCACAATCTCATTGTTTGGTCTTTAGACCAAGTAATCAATTCATGTTCGGCAGACTTATCGCCTTTGTTTTTTAGCCATTGAAACTCTAATATTGTGTCTGAATGTCCGACAAACGTATGTACTGGTGTGTTTATTGCACTTAAATTCCATAACAATAAATTGTTGTCGACTCGTTTGATTGGAGGGACCAAAACAATAAGTATGCCGTCCCCGAAAGGAGTATATTTCGCTCTCCAAACTGGAGTAACGGTACTTAAAACGTTTTCAGTTTTTTTAAGATTGTTAATTTCAAAAAATTTAACTGTGCAATCTTGACTACAAGTGACCAATTGATTTTCATTAGTATAACTCCAATCTAAACAGTGGATTGTATTTAAATGAGCAGAAATATATTGAATGGGGTTGGAAGATTTTCTTTGGTCCCATATTTTTACATCACCGTTATGGACAGTAGCAAGCAAATGCTTAGACAAATGATTCCATCGCACCTTCGAAGCACCAATGACTGTGGAAAGCGATATTGATGGCCTGGCATTTGCTCGTACATCCCATATGTGAACAAACGAGTCCATAGACGCCGACGCTATAATATTGGGTTCAAAAGGATGCCAATTTAAGTCCAGAATCGTTCGTGTATGTGTGTTTAGTTTTGTAGAGGACACCAAATCGTTATCATCTTTCCAAATCAATAGCTGCACTTGAGTATTGTAGGCCAAAGCACAAATATGCTTATTGTGATAGTTTGGATTCCATTCAGTAGCGTTAATATCATATTTACACGACCTAGGAAATTTATGCAACATACTAGTAGGCTTATTTATTTCTTTGACCCCATATTGCTTACGGCCGGCAAGCAGTGCTACAGATCCCGTGTAATCTACTGCCATTGTATTAGCCGGCATATCTCTGATTTCTATTATTTTATACTCGCTACTCCACCTTGTAGCCATTTTGATAAACTGTAAAATAACAATTCCTGGGTTATCATTAGTGTCCAGTTCAAAATGTTTTGACAATTTGCTTACTTATTTTTTAGCTTACTGGTAATATGATTCAATCAATATATATTTCTTTATAATACGTTTTCATTACTTTTTTGATTATTTTATTTTCATTCATTACCTGCAAACAAATCAAATTAAACTTTTTATAATATATTTTGTTAAAAAATAAATCATCATTAATTATTATAATATATGGGTAACTAGAGCTCAACCTATTAATTTAGTTTGTAATATTATTAAATACCAAGTAAATAACAAAAATGATCAATGACTTCAGCTATCGCAACTTATATTAACGAAAAATTAATACACAACAAGCCTCTATTATTTTTCATATTTCAATAGATCTCAGATTCCATTAGTGTTTTTTATATAATCATACTTGCTCGTTTGACTCATATCTTTCAATTTCAAACATTGTAATATTTTAACATAAGCTATAGATATAATTTTTTAATTTTAAACTTTCTCTCAAACCGAGAAGAAAAATTAATAATTAACAGGAGGTATGTTCACAAATGCTGTTGAATATTATACTGATTGAACTCTGAATATACTACGGTTATCCAGTAGTAGGACAGGTTAAATTCAAAAAAAAAAAAATTAGGTAAAAAGCACTATGACTATAACTGGATTTATTAAAACGTTACTAAAAAATCAGTTGTGATTATTTATAACTATTACCTTAATTGTATTTAAATTTAACTATAAAAACGTCGTGTAAAACTTAATAGAGCATTATCTACAATATACGATAGAATAAGTGTAGTTAATATAGTAAGTATTCATTACATCATAATATAACCTGTAGTACTTACTTGATTTTGTAATAATTAATCACCTCTATATGACCCAGTTGAACAGGTATTTATTTGATAAAACACGTACATGGTCATGTAAGTATTGCTATATTTTGTCGTACGATTTATGTGTACGTATAACATGAGAAATGTTAAAAGAAATAGTTATTTATTATATTTAAACGCAATATTAAAAATATACATTTGACAGGATTTCCTTATCATTACAGGTATGTAAATAATACAAGTAAGTAGTATCAGAAGACCATCAGTACAATAACACCATAAATTAGAGACGTCACAAACTGATAATAACAAATTAATGGCGGGAAAACAAAAAACTATATGTTCCATGTCCAAAATGTATTTGAAAATTTAATACTAAACTACTCCCAAATTTTTAATTCTTTCTGTATTCAAACTGACGCTTCTACTATAAAAGAACCAAATGTAAGGATATTTTAAATTTCAGAAATGAAACACATAGATTTAAAAAGTGATAATATACACTTTAAAAATCGTATTACAATATAATTAACAAATAAACAATAAACTTTACAAAACTATTATTTTTTTTATGTATAATAATTTAAAATTGCAATTTTTGTGTTAAGTATACTTAAACAATAATTAATTTATTGCCTTATTCAGTTTTATATACATAGTATAGATTAGTAAAAAGCAAATTATTATTTTATTTGTTTAACTAAATAAGGCAATAAATAAATTATTGTTTAAGTATACTTAAAATAAAAATTGCAATTTTAAATTATTATACATAAAAAAAATATCATGTAAATTTAATTTGACAGTTAATATTATAATACAAAATAGTTTTATATTTTATTATTACGAATGTTGGTCGTAGAACAATTAATCTCGACACATTCAAGTATACATAAAAAAATAATTTAGTATAAAAAATAATTAAGCAAGCAAATATATCACAAAAATAAACAAGAACATCTATAATTATAATAATTTACTAATTTATTCGTTAATTAATAGTGAGGTAAAAATTATTTTATTAAAAAAAAAGAGAATTTACAAATATATTTTTTTTTTAAATACCCTAGATTAGGTAATATTAAATTACTATTGTATCAAAATTGTTATTAATACTACAATTTTAGAGAATTTTTCTTATATATTCTATTCAGACAAACGATAAAACAACTATTTCTTTCAGTTAGTCCTTATGTAGCAGTATCAATGGAGAATTGTCATTGTATTCAACCATCATATTTAAATCATCATAAAACTGAAAAATACATTATTATTAAATAATTTGAAAATTAGAAACATTCATTTTTTAAATTACAGAGATTAAAGCAATTAAAACATTTAAAAAAAAAATAACACTCAGACTAGAGTTAGTTTAAACAATCAAACCACTTTAATGAATGAGCATACCGATAAGCTTTTTATGACTTCAGACGACTACTATCGAACTGTAAAACATAATTTATTTGCATTAATAGATTTTTTTAAATAGGATGTAATAATATTGTCACACAAATTAGTACAACTTAGTGTATGCATGAACTTCGTTGCTATAAAAATAGATTAACATATTATGTGACATACTTTAAATATTGATAGTTTGTATTATGTGAAAATAAGAGTTTTGTATTATGAATCAAAAAATAATTTTAATAAAAATATTCTTTCAAATGAATAATAATTGTTGTTTAGTCGGATTATTTATTTACAGAATATGTATATAGTTTATAAGAAACTAAAGTGAATTTTATTATTGACCAACTTACATAATTCAATACTCACCAATAATTATCTTTATCGTCATAAGTCATAAAATCACAAATGTCTTTAATTTTCAATATTTTAACACACGGTTGATTTTTTATTATTCGAATTATGCCGTTTGCCGGCATTTATTTTATAGATAACAGTTAACACTTAACTCTGATAAACGTTAGTCAGATTTTAGTTACTTTTAATCTGAGAGGATTGGCAAACTGGTACAATGTGATTTTGTATTTAAAATTTTTTCGGGGTTGGTCACGCTGATAGAATAAAAATCTGCGTTATTATTTAGAAAAACTCTTATCTCTTATCAATTTTTTGAACAACAGACTGTCCACAGTCGACCGCGGACGGCACGAATGCCGCATCTTATCAACACCGACGTCACGTGATAACAACGTATGCGACCACGTGAGGTCGTCCAATGTGGTAGCCGTGTGTTGGTGTGACAATCATGTTCCGTATGTAGTACATAGGTATCACCAGCTAACATTAAAGGCGGCCGTGTCGATAAAGGAATGTGGATTTGCATTCATCGCACTTGTTCAACATTTTTTTTTTCCAACTCAATTTCGGTGTATTAGTTCCTAAACAAATTCTCCAATACGTATTATTCGAATTTTCGAGTGGCCATCGCCATCGGCCGGTGGGTGGATAGCGACAAACCGTGATACGCGCTTTTCAACATGTATAATTATTATTCTCACAACAAAAATAAATGATGATAATTGATGTTTAATTAACCGATTAACCAGGAGGGAAAATAAAAACAAAAAACCATTGCTACCGAGTCGACTAAACACGGCAGCCGATAACATTTATTGTACAAATTAGAGGTTAGGTAAGTTGTAGCCGTTTAAAAATAGTTGAGAGAGATATCAGTACCTATTTTTTTTGTTTTTCTTGCGCTTTATTAATTTTATTTACACGAAGCTAATAGATTTTTGTTTTTGTTTTCTAGGTAAAATAATTAAAGTCGGTGTTTACTTGTTGTTTTTTTCTTTTGTATGTTCAAATCGATTTGTTAGTTATTATCATACCAATTTATACGATATAAATATAATATAGGTATTTAGAAAAAAAGACTTACCTTTTTCGCCAATATGTATTCAGACTTTTTAGAGTAAGTCCAGATCGTCGTAATGTGATTTATTAGAATAGCAGTTGATAGTATACAATATTATTTATTTAATGATGATGGTTTTTTTCTATGTCAGGTCGCCTTCAAAAGATTGTTTTTCGTTCAACGATCAGTCATCGTCATATGACATGACCGAGGTAAATACCGTTTGTCGTTGTTGGACAGTTTAACAAATTGAATCTTCTTGATGTGTAATTATTTAATATTTATTCTAGATGAACGAGCTTAGCAGTCAAGTCAATTTGGATTACATTTTCGATTCTTATTATTCGTCGTGAGTAATTTTATTCATTAATACATCTGTTTTTATATGATAAATTTTGCCAACAATTTGGTACCTGGAACAGTGAATTACGTATTGCCGAATGACTGTGAATATATTTAAATTATATACACTGTACAGTTTTGTAATTCAAATTATTTGACTTTTAGAAATATTGTAGTATAGTAGTGTATAAATACACACTTGTAAGTCTTATAGGCACATAGTATTTACCTAAACTATCAAATATATTGCGAAATTTGGATAGCAGATAAGGCGTAGCAAAAAATCCTCGAAAGCTTTAAAATGTGGTGTTTGTAAAGGATGGTGGGGGTGAGTTGGACAGAATGCCGTACCAATGAAAACAAAGAACCAAACCCACTCCCCCAGGATGGCAACTCTTGTCTCTTGTAGAACAAGAGTTGTCTGACCAACCTCAAAAGTCGTAGGCTAAAAAAATGAGCAACACTTAATTAGAGTAGAACGATGGAACATGATTGAGGCACAAAAATAAACTCTTTTATAGAATAATAGAAGTGAAAATTAAAGGGAGAGGGACAGAAGCTGACCAAGAACATCATTAATTCTCAAAAAAATTATTTATCACAAAACTGAAGGGCTAGCTAACCGTAAGGTTGACTACAAAGAAGAAAAAAAATTATGCTAAATAATAAAATGTCTGAAAATACAATAAAATACTTAAAATACTAATTTTTTTATAACAATTTGTATTAAGCAAAATGTTTTTGTTTCAAACAGGGCATCGCGCTATAATACTGGTTTCGAACTTCCAGAGGATTGCAAAAATATGAGTTTTTCAGAACTGTTTGATCAAGAACTGTTTAGCACTAATGGTATGTAGTAATTTTAATACAGATTATGGGGAACGGAAAGCAACAATTTTTTTTTTTTTCTTAAAAATGTATAAGCATTTTTATTTTTACATTTTTATAGTTTTTTCTATTATATCTAACTACTTTTTTAATCACTAAATCAAAAATCGGTCTTCTAGCCCCTATAGCAAAAATAGTAAGCTTCGCATAAAAAAAAAAATGAAATTCATCCGATAGATACACCAGAAAATGACTTTTACGAAGTCATTTTTTATCAAACTTTCACCATAACTCTGAGAAAAATAACTTTAAAAGTATTAGGTATAACTAGAAAATTTTAATATGTGTTCACTTTGAAATTAGTAAGCATATTAATAGCTATTAAATAAAGTTTTGTCAAATATTGCCTATCCTTTTCTCCTTAATCAATAGCGCTTTCCATTCCCCTTAAGTAAGAATTTGACAATTTTAAATTTAAAAAAAAAAATGTTTACAAATGTATATTGAGTTCTTATAAACAAAAGGGCATACATGCTAGGTAAAAACGTCAATGTGACATACTTTTCAACTAATCATCTTTTATATACTTAATGATTTGCTTGGGCAACAAATCATTTTTTATATATTAAGTATATGAATGGTTGTGAGCAATATTAATTATTCATAGAATTTTGTGTTGCACGGCCTAAACTTCTTTTTGTACATTTGATGTAAAGTAAAATTGTTAAGCACTGTTTGGCAGTGTTAGGAAGTAAAAAAATGAACTAGTTCATGTTAAATGCCAAAATTCTTTAAAACTAACAAATTTTTGTTTGTACAGAAAATTACCATGTTATGTTTTTTTCACAGATGGTTATGACCTGGTGTATTAGCCTAGTTTAATTTATACTTATGGATAAGCAATAATAAAATTGAAAAAAAAAAAGAACGCATGTACGGTACAAAATTGTATTATTGGTAAATGTTCACAATACTGTTGCTGTCTTAATAAAATAAAAATAATTGACAAAAGCGGCAGCTATTTTGTGGTTACTATATTAATATTGAGATGCAATAAATATTTTATTTTCTCACAATCTATTAAATATTTAGATTTTTAAACATTTTATTTAGGAAAAATGAAATGGCGTCTAGCACAATTTAGCTTGATATACTTAAATAAATTGTTATTATTCATAAGCAATATGCATGTACAGAATTTATACTAATATTAATGTGTGTATTTATTATTTTTATAGACAACAAAGACTGTAAAATCACCATTAAAATAGAGAAAGAAGAACCTATAACACCATGTTACTCTGCCGAAAATTCACAAGAAGAAACATTCAGTAGTCAGACGGCAATAGAATTTGATAAAACCAATATTCCTATATCCATAAATACTCCTAATATTGCTAGCTCGAACCGAGGAATCAATAGAACTTCCATAAAATCTGATATTAACTCGAACGATGTACAAAATTTAATTAATAACCCATTTCATGAGACGACTACTTTAAATCCAACCATCGAAAAAAATACATCGACAACTGAAACAATTGTTAAATGTGATGTGAAAAATGAACCATTAGAAGAAGAAACTTTCGAACAAAGCATTGTTAAATTGGAAGTCAAATCTGACGAGTTGGTCAGCACAGTAAACGACTTAAATAATATTGAGTGCGATATGTACGAAGAAACGTGCGTTAGCATAGATGAGGCAACACAACCCATTGAAGAACCTCTAACCTCTATCGTCAAACAGGAAGTAGAGATAGAAATTACAGCTGATGAAACTAGTAGTAACTGTTCTTCTACTTGTGCTGTTAAAAACGAATCTAGCTTAGAAACTGAAAAGAAAAAAATTTCATGGGAAGAGTTTAGAGCAAAAAGAGGCAAAAACTTAATAAAACCATCTGGTATGTTATTTTTACTTTTTAGATGTATATTTTTATTTTAACAAGGAATTTTTTTTTTTTTTTCAGAAAACATCGAGTTAGATTTCTCACTTGTAGCAACTGATAATCACAAGGTGGAAGCAATCAAAAAAGAGTTTGATCGTAATACGGACGAGCACTTTATTGGCCAAAAAAGAAAGTTGGATAGTGTCAAAGAAGAAAAAACTCCCATCAAAGATATAAGCGATGAAGAAGATCAAGAACTGCAAAGAAAAAGAATGAAAATTGAATACATAAAAAAAATGCTCCCATCATCATTTGGTAAACTATAATTTTTAAAAAAATAAATTTTTAAATTATTCTTTTTTAAAAAAAAATTTTTTATATTTTCAGCTTCTGAGATAGCCAAGACGTCAATCTTTATGAAAGGCAGCGGAGTAGAGAACAAGGAGGACGATGGTAATTTATTTTATATTTGTTTAAACGTAGAAGGCAATAACTAATTGAGTTTTTGCTTATGATTAGAAATCGATACTGCTTCAAACGAATTGGACATATCTTATGATAAATTACCAGTGAAAAATGATGATCCGTTGTTCTTGAAAAGAGATGACAAATTGCAAAAGAAAACCCATCAGTCGAAAGTTTATTCATCTTCTTCTCGTAACTCCTCAAGGTGTGACGAATACACAGTGTAATTTTGAAGAAAAACAAAAACTAAATAGTTTTTTAAAATTTGTTATCATAAGGTCTGATTATTGTAACAAGAGTAGCCGATCATCGTCTATATCGTCCAATTCCGATGATTATTATAATCGTAACAGATTCGATGTTCTTTCTCCATCGGGGGTTCAATACGGTCAACCTATGCGCAACTCCGGTCAAAGGTAACGCATATTTGCATTTGCTTTATTATTATTGCATCACAACTCAAATAAATGATTCACTGTTGAAAACAACAATTGTGCAGGCCTAAAGAACAGAAAAGGGTCGTATATGTCGGACAAATACCCATTAAATATGGCAAGCGTTACCTTTACAATCGTTTCAAGGAATTCGGAACGATACAGTCTCTTACGCTTCACAAGAAACCCGAGTACTTATCACAATTGCTAACACGCTCGTTAACCAGTGGCGTTTATGTTAAAATTTGTTTTGTTATTCTTTAGTTTCCGTGTGTACTATGCGTTTGTAACTTATTCCGAAAAGTCTGAAGCCGAACGTGCTATAAACCACGGAAACGATGATGAGAGTCAAGTCAAACTAGATATCAGATTCGGCGAAAGAAAACAAACTCAAACACCTTATTATGATTTGGGTAAACGTAATATAACTAAAATGAAATAAAAATAAAAACAAATAGCTAGCATACTGGCGGGGGCACAGGTCTTTATGATTTATTTTAAGTGAAAGTGATAAAATCATAAATCCTAAGTAAAATAAACGATTACAAGTATAAATAATTTGACCTGACCTAACCTACATTTTTATGTTTTAGATGATGAATGGTTAACCGATTGGTATAATTACAATCAACCGATTCCAGTAGTGAGAACGCATAGTCCAGAGCAAGTGACATTCGAAGAAGAGTTACAAGAATTTTATAAGCTTGCTCAAATTAAGAAATTAGGTCAAATTAAGACCCAAGTGTCTTGACATATAATTCCTGTTTTATTTCACCGTGTAGTGATGGAATAAAAAAAAATGTAATACATATTGTTAATTTTTTCTTTTAAATTTGTTTTTATTTTGTTAAAATACAAAAGTCAATTCTTAAAAAAAAAAAAAAAAAACAAAGCAATTATTATGTACGTTGATATATATATATTATTACGGGGTAGTTGCATAATAATTTATTTGTCCTTATCGTCTTGGACAATTTTAGCAACTTTTCGACATTCCACCGAATTTGTTACGGTACATTTCATTTCAGTCCAGCTTATTGGAGTCATTGGATGCCCTGAACAATTTTTTTTTAGTTAATGAATTGAAAATTAAGTAAAAACAAAAAGAATAATCAACACTCACCAGATTCACTACACGCTATGACTACGCCAAGTTCGTTTTCAGCAGTGGTCAACTTGAACGTATGGGCTTCGGTCATTGGTAACTATAACAGAATGGGGTTAAAATTTAAAAATGACCATGACATTTTTATTAAACTAGAACAGTGTCATCTGCCACTCACAACTTTAGCCAAAATGATATCTCCTGGCCTAAAACATTGTAACATTTCTATTTTATCGATTTCTTTGGTGCGTACATCTTGTTTCCTTAAGCTTCCTCTGTACGTTTCATTTAACTCGTGACCATTAACGCTCGTAATTAGACATTTGCACATGTCTTGATTTAATGTAGTCACCTGAAAATAAATTGTGTTGTTATTTAACGATGATTATTGCGTACTTAGTAAGTTTTACAAACCATTGCTGTAACAATATCTCCTGGCGCTGGTACTACAGTACGATCTTTACTGATTACTTCTATGACAGATGTCTATAATAAGAATACAAATTTGCCACCGTAAATAAACCAACGGTTTTTGGGGAAAAAATTAGCTCGTCTTACTTCATTTTTCTTATTTATATTAACGATTCCTGCCAGACTTGAATAAATGTAATCTTGTCTTTTATAAGTTCCTTGGCCCATAGCATATGTTGGATCTATTCGACATAACCGTTGCCCTAATTTTTCATATAAAGCGTTATAAATCGACAATGATTTTATTTTTCACAACAGTTATTTATTTTGTTCAAAATATGATAAGATCACTATTTGATGTAAATTAAAAGTAATCTTATCATTTTAGTGGTTACAAAAATGTTAGTATAAAACATAGAGATTTTGTTCTTGTAAAGTAGTATCATTTTTCTACATATTTCGTACTAAGAATATAATCTTAATGATTTATAAGAAAAAAAATTGGAGTTTTACATTCAAACCGGTACTTAAGTACTCTGAAAGAAAATAGTTGTGTACTATAAATTAGAAACGAAATCATAGTAATTTTAAAAGTTTAAGTAGTATTTTAATCATAATCATTAGTAAATAGCAATTATCTTACCAGGAACGCATATGATTTTGTTCTCCATACTTCTATAATGGAACCTAGAAACATAAAATGAGAAAAAAAACTGTAATATTGACTTGACATATTATAGGTTATTAATTTTCTATAGTTTCAATATTGTTACCTTATTTTTGAGATTTAATATAAAAGATAAAAAATGATCGTTAACAAGACAATTTAATTGAAATCAAAATTTAATTTATTTCAAGTCAATGATTTGAATTTTTTTGCGTGAAATCGTTATCATTGTTATTGTTATCAAGATAGATAACGAGGATCTGTAATCAGTATAATTATTTTTTGTCAAAGACATTAGACAAAATTGTCAAAACATATTTTAAGTGTAGTTTATACCATTGTTTTTGTAACTATTTTTTCCCCTACTGTGTTTGGTTTGTAATAAAATTATTAAAACCGAGGTTGACTAGAGAGGGCTGAGGGCAGTTATTTATTATATTTATATATTTTATGTATTAGATATTTTTTATTGAACAACTGAAAAATACTATTATGGAAAAATAAATAAACCCACTAATTTTATTGCAAAACATAAAGAAAATCGGAAGAAGGAACTTTTGCCACCAAGACATGTTCATCAAACTGTGATGAATTGAAAGAGCAATTCGGAGAAAATTGGAATGTCGAGGAATTGCCCTTTCCACAAATGTCTGAAAATTTGATAATATTATCATACTTACTTTATGTCTTTATGACATTTTAATACTTTGTACAAACAAAAAAGGAATTTAACTTCGAGGAAAGAGGACACTCAGACTTAAGACCATCAACTGAATTTTATGGACGTTCACGTTTATTGTAGAAATATATAATAGAGAGATAACATTTTAACACAGATAATCACTAATAATTTAACCTAATGAACACAGAGTTAATTATGAAAAATTAATTTTTTGATTGAAATAATATATAGCTAACGTTTCACCATTTAAAAAGCTTAAGTTTTTAAGACATAAGAGGTGGGGTTAAATTTTTAAAAAGTATATTAAAATTGGGCGAACTATTAACTATAAAAGTATAAAAAAGAATAATTAAAAAAATTCGAATGAGATGTAGATTGGGTTATAACTCATAATTGTCCAATCACCCGGTACTTGATGTTAAAAAAAGTCATTTTTTCCTTCACTAAAACAGTAATTACTCTAAGATATATTTTCAAAACAAATAAGTCATTAGTCATCCCTTATAGAGAAATCATGCTCTATCGATATCATAACATGTGGCTACCTATTTTTCTCAAAAAAAAAAATATAGTAAACACTTGAATTACTGCTTAAAGCTGCAGTTGTTGAATTAATTATTGTAAGTAAGTAAACAAACATTTTTTTTATATTTGTTTACCAAATCTTAAAAAAAGTAATTTTTTATTAGGAACTATAATTTTCCAAAGGAAGAAGTTGTGTTTATATTTAGGGAAATATGTTTGCTTACATGGGAAATGTAAATCCAGATTTTCGATTTTGGACTTTATAATATTTGACGATCATATCTCTTTAGATTTATAAATAGGTAACTATGGCGTTGAACACACATACTTTTTAAATGCAATTTAAATAAAAAATATTCTGTATTAAACGTCAAAAATCTAGAACTAAATTTCAGATTTTAATTATTGTAATAACGTAACAATTGATCATTATATTGTTTAGTAGATTTTTAGATGCAGTTATTAGATAATGCCATGGATTACATGGGGCGAGGGAGCTGAGCATAGTGGAAGCCATCAGTCGTAAAACATTATTAGGGGCCAGGCGATTTTGATGAATAAAGTGGACTCGAGCCAACCCTCATCAGTAACGCACAAATCCATACTGGCGCATCTGTGCCCATTTATTTAGCACGTTGAACCGTCTATACCATTTAAATCTCTACATCAATATTTTCCACAGTGACATCAGCCATGGCAGGGGATGCATTGATCGGCCATTACTTTTTACTGTAGTCTGTAGCCAAATTATAAGCTATCCGTACTTACTATTATACTGTTTTATAAACATATTTTAGCTTCAGTTTTCGCAGATTTAAAGTATGTTGGCGTGAAATACTTCAAATTTGTAAATCTATAATAAGTCTATAATGGTAGGTTTTAAGTATATGTACAGTTTTTTTTTTTTTTGGTGTTTTTCTTTTCGGCCCAATCTAGTACCTTTTGGGTATGATTTCTGAGACACTATAGACTAGGACAGTTTAAAAGATAACGCGGGTCAAGGCACAAAATAAAAAAAGCAATAGTGTGTCGAACAAAAATGGTTAAAAACCGCACAAGTATGGAATTTTCGGTAATTTACAGTTGTCGTTCGAGATTCGTTTGGTTATTCCGACGGACGTTTTTTTTTTTTTTGGTATTTTTCCTCCCCTATTTTCGGTAATTTATTATTATTGTTGTTATTATTATTGTTTTGTACCGCCCCTCTCGCGTCTCTCCCACCCCCCTCTCTGGACCGTCCCGCACCGGAATATAGGTGTTGTGTCGGCGGCGGTTAAATTATAATATTTAGCGTGCATGCGGGCGGCGCGTTGGAAATAACTTACGGGCGCCGCCGCTACCGGAACACGACAACCCCTATGTATATACATATATATATATATATTGTACATGTTTATATATATATATGTTATGTACCCACAGGGAAAGATGGAGAGGATTTTTCCCAGAGGGTGAAAAACCGCGAGTAAGCACGCAGTCAGTGCCGTGTCGCCGTCGGGGAAACTCCGTCGTCGACCGTTGTCCGTGTGCGATATACCACGGGTTCGAACGTGAAAAAATATAATAAAAATAATAACGACAATGTGCTTAAATAAATTTGATTAACATTTTTTTGAGGTTTTCTTTCAAGCGAAAATTAAAAAGTTTTGTCGATTTGTGTTTGAAAATCCAACGGGACTCTTAAGGATAAAAATAATTCTACCTATACAATGTAAGTAAATATTATAATTTTACGGATAAACGCGGTTTAAAGGTACTTGGCAAAATTGTATTGAAACAAGTTGAAACAGTTTGGCTGCTCTACAAATCCTAAAAAAATAGTTGGCTCTCGTCACAATAACAATGTTATATTTTTATGAGTAATGCAATTAATGTTTGAAAATATTTTGACTAGAAACAAAACAGTTTTTAACGACTATTTGTATTTAGGACTGTCGGAAGTGATAACTGTGTTAAGGGACACAATATAAGTAATATTTTAATAAAAATTAGTATTGAATAAATTAAAATCATGTCGACTTTTTCCAGGTTCATTTACGTTAACTTTTAATGACTTTCTGGACCGAAGTGTCTAGCGAAAATTCGACCACTTCATTTCTTTTTATCTTTATTGAAACTTTAAAAGTTTTTTTTTCGTTTATTGGACACTTAAACAAATTTTGTTGAAACCGATTTGCAACAATGACTTAATGAACACTTTAGTTTTTAGTATTTTATTGCGTTATTATTCGCCATTTAATAAAATCATAATGTTCAAAACTTATCATAGTCGAAGTACTCATGTTCGTGATATTTGTGACAGTTTTAGTGGATTTTGTATAGGTACTATTGTATACTGTTATAACTGTTGTTTCATAAGGTATATAGATATCTAAATTTCATGTTGCAGTGCATTTTCCAATGGAATAATTGTGTAAGCTAAAAAAAGTTTCTTGTAAAAACCTTATTATATTTAATGAAAAGTAAAAGTAAGTGGTTTGTGTGGATATTACAAACTATATGACAGTCTACCTTTAAATGATATTAGCTCAGAAGTATTTATTCAAACCAGGTTATCGGCTAGTTATTATTATTACCTGCTTTTCATAGATACTGGGTACATAGGTTGATGTTTGATTTTTGCAAGTCACCTTTTTATGATTAACTTTTCAAATAATATTTTTAACATAAAATATAATTGTTGACCATTAAATAAGGATTTTTTATGAAACGTTTTTAGCTAAAACAATTATTTTATAGGGAAAAATTACTGTAACATTAAAATTCGAATGACTCTGTATACATATATAAGACCAGCCAATGGTTTCATAAAATGAATGATTAAATTATTTAAAGAACATTATATCAGCTTAACGGCTATTACTACACATATTATAATGGACATAAAATAATATAAAGCTAACCTTTTAAATGTGGATTATTATTTGTTGTCAAAAACAATTAATGTCACAAGTCCTTGCTTTAGACCTAAAAAAAAAGTTAACCAAAGCGATTTTAAGAATAAATTTATTATTTAAAACGTCCGACTGGCTGAAGCATGAACGAATTATCGTTTGGCCAACGCGTGAAATACAAAAATAAATAAAATGCAAGTACCGAGTTGAGAAAAAAAACAGGTGAACACAAATGAACGACTGTTCCGAATACGGTACTGCTGCAGTAATAATTTCCAAGGGCGAAAAGTTTCGTTTTTAGAAGTCCCCAGTGAGATTTACTAATGGACCAGGGCACGGAAAACTTTGCCTCAACCCAGACTCTCTCTTTCTCTCTCCCTGCCCTTCCGGTAACCGTACAGCAGTATCCCTAAGGAATTATATGGACCTGTGTCCCGTTTCTTTGGTTGTACCTGCTGTACAAGCGAGCATAATACCATATTTTTCACCGGAGCTGCCAATAAACCTACCCTTTGCCGATTTCTATGCACCCTTCTCTTCCTAGCCCATGCTTTGTCTGCACTATAGACCAAGTATGGCATCTCTTCACTGCACCGAGTAACCAAAACAAGTCTAGTGCGATTGACATTCGACAATCAACATTTCATTTTCGAGTGCAGCCAATACAAATTGTTTAATATAAAAAATAAAAAGCTAGTTGTATAATACCCATAAGCTATATTATAAGGCCGGTACAAAGGAAAGACTGAATATTACATTTGGCAGGAAACTACTCGAGGCGGATACAATAGGACCGATATTGAACAATGAAATATAGAGATGGGAAATAAAATCCGATTTTCCATTGAAGGAAGACAGAGATAATAATATATGACTAACGGAAGGAAACTGGTGATGAAGGATGTTGGTCAGTGGAAACAACGGAGGGTCGTTAAGTGGATTGACTTAACAATTTTGTGTTTTACCTACGATTTGTCGAGTGTTTATGGTTTTGTCGTTGTGAGTGGTTCATCTTCAATGGGCACCCGTTAGATCAACATTCAGATTAATTTTCAAAACTTAAATGCTAAAACTTTGTAAATGAAATAAAAATAAAGAAACAATTACACCACTCCTCGTGAGA